AATAAGCTTGGTGGATCAGGGGAATGCTGTGGGAGTAGTGTATCTTGATTTCAATCAGGTTTTTTTTCTTTTCTTTACAAAGTTCCCCATATTTATGTGGAGAAACTGGTAAAATGTGGGCTGGATGAGGTTAGTTAGGTGGATTTGTAGCTGGTTGATCAAACCCAAACAGTGCTCACTAATGGTTCCTCATCATCATGCAATAAATGTGCATTCTGTCATTTACATCTTTTGTAATGTTTTGAAATCTTTAAGATCATATGTTAGTTTCCTGTTAATTATGTTGCTTTCAACATATACTTTGTTTTTGATTTTCTTTAGTAATGTTTTATTCTGGATCTTTTTATTTGATGTTTTAATGTGTTGTAAACAAATGAGATTTTTTCCCTTAAAAATATAAAGTGGTATAAAAATGAAGCTATTAATAATAATTTTGAATTATTGATCAAGGTAAATCACTGACCTAAGTATTAACACCTCATATTCACAAATGATGTGAGAAGGCTCTAGTATCAAGAGTTGCCTTGAAATAGACAAGTCCACTATTCAGTTTCTCCTATTGCTGCAGCATTCAAACAGAAAAAACCACATCTCACTTCCTTCCTTTTGTGCAAAGATTACAGATATAATAGGGATCCTCTCACAGCCTGGACATACCAACCTTTCCTTCATCTGTACAGGGTTTTTATTTTTTTTCAGTTTCAACAGAATGATTCTAGTAACCTAAGCGAGTGCTCATCTTGTATTTTAAGGAAAGAGGATTCATTAGTACTTGTAACTTCTGTCCTAACCCATATAGCTGCTGATGTGCAGAATGCAAAATCCGGTTTGATCCCCAAGGCATTTAATTGAATTCCCGATGGGGTTTTATGCTGCTCTCATTATCAGTGTCTTAGTGCCTCTCCCATTAGTGCATTAAGCAACATTAACATCTGTCACACACAGTTTGCTTTTCCTCTCATCTCCTCCCCATTGAAGTGGAATTATGAGTACTGGGGAAATGCCCTAATATAAACACACATTCATGTGCATGAGACTACATACAACATCTTCGCTGGCCCTCCTTGTTCTGATAAAAATGTAGCATCATTTGTTCCCTTGTGAAGTTAACATGCTGAACATTAGAAGCTGAAAATTTTACTACGATGTAAAAATCTAATGAGCGCTGATGGACAGTTGCTGTGGAAACAGTAACTTTTATGTCTTCACTGAGCATTTAAACCCCCCCCCCAACAAATTTCTGCACATTATTTTTGCCTCAAACTGAAAGCATGTCTTGATTAATCAGTATAACTAACTGGTTAATGGCTTTGTTAGAGAGGAAAAACAACACTCCAATTAATCTCCAGTGGCCTTTTCTGCATCTAGAGAGAAACTTGGTTCCAGGGCAGAGGTTACCAGCAGGTCTAGACAAGCAGAGAGGATTCTGCTGGGGTGGGGGAGGCACAGAAAGGCTCTCTGGGGATGTATCGATATTCTGCAACAGTGGCTTTTAGGATCAGTTACTGGTTCGATCAACTGGTTGACAGAGCACAGTTAAATATCTCAAATTTGTCCGTCCTTTTCCATTAACCAAGTAGCATGCCAAGCTGGTCCAAAAGTCAGTTAAACGGATGAAGTGTTGCTTTTAAATAACAGTATAAGGATACACACATTTTGTACCCTAACACAATACAAAAGAAGCTGGGGCTTAGCAAGATTTGTATCCTGTATTGCAAATGCAAAGAGCAACTGAGCATAGCAGAAAGTTAATAACGTACCTCATAACTTGACAAGTGATCCCAACCCAAGTGGGATTAGGAGCTGTTGTGCTCAGGCCTTCTCAGAGGCTCAGGCCACTTGTAGCTTTTAAGGCCCCTAGCCTGTGGTGACCCAGTATGGCTGCTAGTTCACAGGGATGTAGCCAATGAGGTCACAGGAGCTTGAACAAGTTGTTCTGCATTTGAAAAGTGTCACTTTGGTTCAAAAGTGGTCCCTGCTGTCAAAGCTGCTTTTCTGCTGGGAGAAAAATTGTGTAGTCTCCACCTGTTCTGGTTTTCTCCCCATCCTCTTCCTTTACAAAGAAATACAGTGGTACCTCTGGTTGCGAACGGGATCCATTCCAGAGGTCTGACCTCATCCCAAGGAATTTGCAACTGGAGGACCGCTTCTGCGCATGCGCACACGGCGAAACCCAGAAAAATACTTCGGGTTTGCTGTGTTCGCACCCCAAAGTTTACGTATCCAGAGGGATATGTAAGCGGAGGTACGACTGTAGTGGGAACTTTTAACATTGCAGTTCTATTAATACTTAAGGGGTCCTTGCTGACACAGTTTCTAGCATGGGCTCATGCCACAATAACCATAAATAACTCAGAAGCAAGTACCTCTGAATTCCACAAGGATTGTTCCCTGATGTGTATGGAATTGTAGCCTGAATTAGTCTTGTCACACAGAACCGGTAACAAACGCTCCCTACACTTCCAGACCTATGTGAAAAGATTTATTTCCTTCCCAGTTTATTCATTTCCATGCCTTCTTTCCAGAATGTGGATAAAATGAAAATATACCAGGAGCTGGGAAATTGAGGATTATTAGCCCTAATCTGCCATTATGCATTCTGTGTGGCCTTGGGCCAGTCACTAAACCTGCTTATCCCAAATTTTGAAATTGAGGTAGGGGAGCAGGTTTGAAATCGTGAAAAAATATAGGACACAACCAGGTCATTCAGAACTACAACGTTTGGACTTTACATGAAGGTGAATCATGTCTATATTTGCCTGCTGAAAAGATGAGACATAATGTGATTATTAATTTAGTTATCAAATGCACAAATTATTGAGGGAGAATGTCACAGCTGATATTAAGACAAAGCCTTTATTAGTTAATAACAACAATATATATATTGTTAACTTTGCCACTCTGAGTGCAGGGCCAGCAAATCCATGAGCTGCACTGAGGCAGCTGCCTCAGGCAGCGAAACCCCACTGGGGCAGCTCCCCATGGATGCTTCACTCATCGGCACTGTGACCAGAGAAGCAGCAGTGGCAGGGAGTCCTGGGGAGCTCTCGCTGCTGCCACCACTTCTCTGGCACCACTGTGGATGCCCCCCCCCGCCCCGCATTGCTGGAGAAGCAATGCCATCAGGGCCACCACCAGAGAAGGAGCTTCCAGCAACATCTCAGAACCCAAAAGTCAGTGCTGCCATCTCTTCTCATTTCTCTGGCAGAGGGGCACCCACAGTGCTGCTGTAGATGCTCTCTGGCACCACCACAGGCACCTCACCGCCCGCCCGCCTGCCCCCTGCTCCCAGAGATGTGAGAAGTGGCAGTGCCACCCCTCCATGGGAGAAGCAGCTTCCAGTTTGATCTTGCTGGAACCTGGAAGTAGACACTGCCTCTGCTTCTCCTTCCTTCTATGGTGGGGTGTTGGGAGATGGGAGCTGCAGGGTGAGGTATTACTTTCCCATTTCACCACAGGCAGTGCACTAGCCCAGGCCACCCCTGTCTGAGTCTTTCACAATTCAGTTCCATGCACATCAAAACTAGTTGAGAAACTTGTCAAATGCCAAAACATTAACAAGTGTCTGGATTTGAGGCTCCTGGGTGGCACTGTGGGTTAAACCACAGACTTGCCGATCAGAAGGTCGGTGGTTCGAATCCCTGCGACGGGGTGAGCTCCCATTGCTCGGTCCCTGCTCCTGCCAACCTAGCAGTTCGAAAGCACGTCAAAGTGCAAGTAGATAAATAGGTACCACTCCGGTGGGAAGGTAAACGGCGTTTCCGTGCGCTGCTCTGGTTTTGCCAGAAGCGGCTTAGTCATGCTGGCCACATGACCCGGAAGCTGTACGCCAACTCCCTCGGCCAATAAAGCGAGATGACCCCAGAGTCGGTCACGACTGGACCTAATGGTCAGGGGTCCCTTTCCCTTTTTACCTTGAGTTTGAAGCAGCAGGGGGCAAATGACCATCCAGCCCACCCCACCCTCAGCCCTGGGGGCGCTAAGGAAAGCCAACCTTGGACGTCCGTAGGATGTCAACTATTGCGTCCAGAGCACACCGCTCTGTTTTTCGCTTTCCAAAATAACGGAAAAGAAAGACACACAGTCGACACGGCTTTGAAATGTGCAAGTGTCACCATCTTGCTTGCTTGCCTTCCGGCATCTTACTGGCCGTGCCCACTTCCGACCAGCAGGTGCTGCTCTGCTACCATCGGCGCAGCGCGCTGTAGACAATCGTGTTGTTTGCGTGAACCCAAAGCTACGGAATAATAAGAGGGTTGTTGTAAATAGCCCGCCCCCTGCTTCTTCCTCGCTGAGCAGTCTCATGGCCCATGAAATCGCTTCGCGGTTGCCTTCTCCCCCCCCCCCCATGCTTTCCAGTTGTCCCCTTTAAAGCAAATAAAATGATAAGCCCTCGGAGCGCGGCGATGCAGTTGCAGACTTTGCTCTCGCGGGTGCCGCTGCTCCCTCTCCCTCCCGCGAGCCTCTTTGTTCTCAGCGCAAACTCCGCCACGGAGAAGAAGCGTCACCGCGAAACAAAGCCGCCGGAGACAGTAGCGCGATTCACCACGACAGCGTGAAGAGCAAAGGGGAGCTTTATCCCAGGCCAAGCCCTTTTCAGACATGTGCTTAAAGGAAGTAAAAAAATGGGTGGGAACAGCACCGGCCCCTTCGCGCGCCTTCTTTTGAACGCAGCGCCCCTCGCCCCCGCCGAACCGTCCATTGGGGTCAACGGGGAACTCCTGGCTCTTTGCTTCAGGGAGTCGCTTCCACGAAGCTGGCGAGCCCCGGCCGAGTCGCCGTTTCCTTGGCTGCCCCGTTTTGCAGTCGAGCCGAGGTTGCTCTCCTCCGTTCCTTGCCTTCCACATTGGTCTTGCCCCGCTCGCGCTGCCCGGGCTCCGTCCTCCCGCCCACCTGCCGCCGCCGCCGCCACCAGAGGAGCCCCCTCCGCCCGCCCCGCCAGGTGTCCCGGAGCACGTGCTCTCCTCCCCCCCCCCGCTCCGCACCACTCCCGCATGCCCCTCCCTCCCTCCTCCCCGGCGGGTGCCTCTGCCGGGACCGGGTTGGGCCGGGGAGTCACATGAGCGGCCGCCCAAGTCTGCCCTACGCGGCTCGAGGAAAAGCCTCGGCTGGGCCGCGGAGGTGGCGAGGCGCTGCGCGGCTGCTGGCCCCCATCCCCGCCCCTCCTTCCGTTCCGCTCGTTTGATGGAGCAGCAACAGAGCGACCACCTGTGAGGAGCATGCGCTTAACGCAGGTAATACAACACCCCCACCCTCCCGCCACCGGCATCTCTCGCCTTGCGCTTCTCCAACTGCTCCGCTCCCACGCTTTTGTTCTCTCTTCCTCCGCCCCCACCTTGGCCGCTCACCTGAGGAAACCTCCTTTCCTCGGGCTTTGCGACTTCGGTGGGTTGGAAGACTCTTTGCCTCGAGAACTACTTTTCTCCCAGGCAGGCCAGGACACATTTGTACCTGCGGCTTCCCAGTAGATGGTCCCCTCCCGCTTTCTCCACCGGGCCGCCTCCTCTCAGCCTAACCTAACCTCGTGTGGATATTGTGAGAAATAAAATTGGGGAGATCTCGTCCACCACCGCGTTTTTTCTCCTGTATGGTCTCCGGGCACGTGAGGAGGACACAACTTTGCTGGGTCTGGTCGGTGCCGGGTGGAAGACGGAGTGTGGGAACCACGTGTGTACTGCCTTGGGTTTCGTGGTGGAATAAATGTAAGGCCCTAGGAACAAATAAACAACATAGTAAATGGTATTATGTTTATAAGCAGCTCAAAGTAAGGATGTAAAATGGCCACCTGTTCATTGCATGGTGCCTAAACTGTTTGCCCCCATTTACATACACGCACACTAGAGATTTGACTTAGAAACCCCAAGGAAGGAGCAGAATCTTGAACACAGTCTCAACTCCATACTAAACTCATACTAAAATTTTAAAATAACTCATTTTCATATACTTTAATCATCTAGTCCTGGAAACTTTACTATTTAAGGCTGCAGTCCTAACAATGACTAATCAGAAGTGCTTGCTCCCAGGTAGGTGGAGTCAGGCTTGCAGCCTTAATCTCTCCCCCCTCCCCACTTTTCTTTCTGCCTTCCTTCAGGTAGCTTCAAGGCACAGAACGAACTCAGTAGATAAGGCCACTGAGGTGTAATTATGACGTTTGTATCCCACTTTTCCTCTAAGGAGTATATGGCAGCATACATGGCTTTCCCCCTTCCCATTTAACCCCCTTGTGAAGTAGGTTAGGCTGAGAGACTGTGGATGACTGGCCCAAGGTGACCCAATGGGGTTGCAGTCCTCAGTGCTGCCTCCCTGGAAAGGGGAGGTACCATACCAAGTAGCTCACTTGTGGAGACAGGTCAAAGAGCAATGCCGGCCTGACCATCAGATGTGGGGAACAATTCGGATAAGGCGTCACATTATTCTGCTGCTGCCTCCTGGTGGGTGGGCACTCTAGGTGGCTGGCATACTGGGGTGGGCAGGCAGATAGATGTCTCAACAGCTGCCAGTAACTTACCCAGCCAAGACATGCGGATGAATGAACAGTCAGATCCCAAACATGTTGCCCTCCTCCGGATATGTGACACGTGTGTGTGTATGCTGTGCTGCTACTGTCATCCGTGCTACCTCCCTAGCACAGCTTTCCTGGCTCTGTCTTCAAAGGAGAATAGGCGAGGAAAGCTATTGCCTGTCCCACCACTCTTTCAATGTGTTAACTAATCCAGATGGTTCCCCTCATCTCCTTGTTGAGCCAGCACTGTTCCCTGACCTTCCTTCACGCACAGGTGAGCTGCTTGGCATCCTACCGTTCCTGTACTGGAATTATTCACCTACTGTATAGCTGTGAAGTTGAGTGTTGTCAGTTTAGACCTTGAAGGGGTTTCCATTTCTTTAAATGGGAGCTGCCTAGAAACAAAAAAATTAATCAAGTGAAGCTTTTTCCAACAGTGTGATCTGAGATAATGGAAAGCAGCACTTGGGGAAACTCTCCAGTACACACCTCTGAAAAGAGATGAGGAGAGTTTTCCAGCTTTAAACATGGCAACTTATTGAAGCCTCCTACACATTTGCTTACTTAGACAAACAGGTACACTTCTGCCTCGTTTGTTGTCAGAGAGTGGGTGGATTTGGGGTTGTCTAGCCCAGGATGTGGGTGGCGCTGTGGGTTAAACCACAGAGCCTAGGGCAGGGGTCTGCAACCCGCGGCTCCGGAGCCGCATGTGGCTCTTTTACACCTTTGCCGCGGCTCCGGGGCGGATACTAGCGAGGGGAGGAGGCGCATTGTGCGCCCCGACACTCCCCACTGTGGTGGGCGCTGTACTGGCTGTGACGTCGCATGGGGGCGGTGCGTGCGTTAGTTACGCACCGTCCCGACGTCACCTTCCCGCCTGCCCGCTACATTGTAAGGGGCATGTACGCTGGTCACTGTTTTGAAGGGGAGTGAAGAACACACACACACAAAAAGGTAACTTGTTAATTTAACGTTTATTTCTATGAGGAGGAGTAATTCTGAGGGGTCAAACAAAGAAATAATAAAAAAGTGACAAAAAAGTTATTTTTATAATAACGAGTTTTGCGGCTCCCAGTTTTTTTTCCTTCGGAAACGGGTCCAAGTGGCTCTTTTTGTCTTAAAGGTTGCAGACCCCTGGCCTAGGGCTTGCCGATCAGAAGATTGGTGGTTCAAATCCCCGCGACGGAGTGAGCTCCTGTTGCTCGGTCCCTGCTCCTGCCAACCTAGCAGTTCGAAAGCACATCAAAGTGCAAGTAGATAAATAGGTACTGCTCTGGTGGGAAGGTAAAAGGCGTTTCCGTGCGCTGCTCTGGTTCGCCAGAAGTGGCTTAGTCATGCTGGCCACATGACCTGGAAGCTATACGCCGGCTCCCTCGGCCAATAAAGTGAGATGAGCACCGCAACCCCACAGCAGCACCACCCGCATCCCTTCAGAATAGTTGTAGCCAAAATGTTGTAACGTTGTAAAACGTTGGAGCTCCAGGTCAAACTGATTGCTGCAGACATGTTATGCCATGAAGTTACTATGTGAATTGTTTTGCTTGCTTTCTATAAGCCACATGGCCTACTACAGAACCTGGAGAGGAACTGGTGTGGAAAACTGTCCATTGTTCTCCTATTGATGGTTACTAGTCCTGATACAAACTACCGCCAGGATCAGTGTAGGGTAATAAGGTGAAAAAGAGGGCAGGGTTACTGCAGTTTATTTGGTAAGTTGAAGGTACGCCTAGTAAGCCACACCAGGGTTACAGTTAGTGCAGTTTATTTGCTTAGCAGAAGCTATGTCTAGTAAGCCACACATACTAAAATTCACTCTTTTATACAACCATAAAAGGCATAGCTGTTAGTTTTTTCCTTTTTTTAAGGGAAATTCCCTTATTCCAAATAGGATTCCTCGCAAGAAAAGGGAAAAGTTGACAGCTATGATTAAAGGTGGAAGAGCCCTATCCTTTTCTACTCCTGGCCGCTCTTGATTGGAAGCAACTTGTTTCTGGATACCAGCTGGTGGAGAATAACAGTGAGAGAGTATTGCTGTACTCATGTCCTCCCTGAGGGCTTCCCATAAACATCTGGCTGGCCACTCTGAGAAACAGGATGCTGGACTAAGTGGGACTTTGATCTAACATAGCAGGGCTAATGTTCTCATTCTTTTTATAATCAACAAAAATGCCTGTTCACTTTTTTTTTTTAAGGTGATCCCTTAGTGGAATCCTAGGAAATGGATCCAGGCTCCTTGAAATGTTTGTCTTGACCTACTTGATGGAGGTACCTTGCAGAAGACGGTGAATGTGAGGCGGAACTGGGCTGGGCTGGGCTGGCCACTTATTTTTCTGAATTTGTTACTTCTGCCTACCATGGAACAAGGCGAGAGTCAGCAGGGACCCCCACCCGAGGGCCAGGAGGACAGCAAAAGCAACACAAGACCTTTGCCTGCTGGAGCTGTCCCTGTTAAGGGGGAAATAAAGAAACATGCAGTCACAGACGACTACAAAATCTCTAAGCGGGTGCTGGGCCTTGGCATTAATGGCAAAGTAATGGAGTGCTTTCACAAGGCGACAGGGAGGAAATGTGCTTTAAAGGTAAGTAGCTGTTGTTTCCAGACAAGAGTGCCTGGCGTGCTCTGGTCCATGGGGTCATGAAAAGTCGGACATGACTAAACGACTAAACAACGACAACAAGCTGTTGTTTCTCCTTATTTGGAGGCTAAAGACAAGTGTTGTGCTCTCTTCTGCGGTGGTCTAGATGCTCCTGAAGAATTTGAATTAGAAATTCTCTAAATTGCATGGAAACCTTATGTTATTGAGGGCCTAGTTGTTCCAAACCTTTAAGGCTTTCGAACTGGTCCCTGAATTAGTCTTTTAAATTACTAATTGTAAAATTCTTTTGCTCCTTTGCGTGGGCTGAAATATGCTTCCTTCTCTTCTCTCTCTATTCCCCCCCCCCCCGGCCGGTGAGTCAGATAGTGATTTGAATGCTGATGATGCTACACTGTGGTGAACCAGGAAAATATTGCCTGAGTTACTGAGTTTAGCAGTGCAAGAGATCTGAGATGGAAACTCAAAAAATGCATTTCCAACAACACTTTAATGTGGATTTGACAACAAGACCAATAGTACTGAGACTCAACGACCCCTGTCTATTAGCACCCTGTTTCATTTAACAGCATGTTATGCTTTTATTCTGTTAGAACTTAGTCATTTTCATTGGTGCAGTGTAACAAATGCTGCTTCAAGATATATAACTATATATATTTCATACATAGTTAATATTGTGGTAATTTCCACTGCAGGGATGAGTGTTAATCCACTGCTATACTTTAAAGCACTTTTGGGGGAGCACTGTTGGAATGTTTAACAGAGTTTTTTTGGTTTTTTTTAATTTGCCAAAAATGTTTTCAACAGATGATTAGAATAATTAAGTTGCATTAATTATTGAAAGAGTAAACATCCAATTATATGGTGCACTTATTATACTTATGGAACTGACACTGGTGACAAAACAAGGTCGTGACTAACAGGCTAGGCCAGAACCTTCCGGGCAGTTAAGGATGCTGAGAATGAAATCAGAGGGTGGCGTATACTCTAGCCTGATATAACCTTGAATAAATTATATGGCTAAGTTGCCATATATATGTAAGCAAGCAAACAAGAAGTGTAACTGCCGTGGAATATACTGGTTTGCCTAGATGGCTCCTAGTCATGATAGCTGTATGTTTTCTCCCTTATCCAAGGCAATATGCCTCTAAATACCAGATCATGAGTGGAAGAGTGCTCATGAGTGGCAGAGTACTGTTGTGCTCGTGTCTTGCTTGTAGACTTCCACTTGCCATCTGGTTGGCTGCTGTGAGAACTGAATGCTGGACTAGGTAGAACATCGGCCTGATCAAATAAGACTCTTCTAGGCCTGGAGGGGAGGCATGAAATTGCACACTCCTCTGCAGGTGTCCCCAATATTTCATGAGCAATGTTTTGGAGGATATGAGGTGGTGGGAAAGAAGCCTGTTGGCTGTTAGGAAGATGGTGCCAGTGGCAGTACCATCTGGAGTTGCCTTGCCTAGTGCTTCTCTTTACAGCACTGGGTTAAGGGATTGTCAGGTAGTAGGATCTATGCTACTCTCATTGTGGCTGGCTGCCATCTCTTCTGTCATTTCTCCCCATCCATCCTCTGGTAAGCTTGGATCAGGTGGCCACCAAAGGGCCATTGGAGGGCTTACCCAGGACACCATCATACTTGGCACTGCCTTGTCTATGCTAAATCAAGAGTAAGTAGCGGATATATTCACAGTGCAATCCTTACCCAGAATTACCTTTGAGATCAATGCAGCTTACTCCCTAGTACGTTTGAATATGGTTGCAGCCTGAAACTGCTGGGTTTTTTGCACACCTATCTGGAAGGAAGCACCACTGAAAAAATGAAACATTTTTCTCAGTAGACATGTATAGGTTTGTAGGGTAAGTCTCTTAAGATCTGTCTCAAGTGTAGTAGTGTGGATGTGCTTTTTATATATATGCGCTTAGCCTATTGTATGTGCATGTTGATGCAATTGAATGTCACATCAATATTGTGTTACCTGATTATGCTGTAGGCTGGACTTGATGTGCAAAGAAAGATGTTAACCAAGTCTCCATGCGTGCTGAGGCACCTTTTCATATGTGTTTTCTTGATGTTTTTAAAGCTCCTCATTCTTCAGACAAATACTACTGCAGATTGGTATAGACATCTGTAGTACATAATCTGCCCTTTTGTACCCAAAGAAGCAAATTTAAGGCTTCGATCTTATACTTGGGAATAAGACCTTTTGAACACAGTGGGTCTTGCTTTTGAGGAAACATGTATAAGGTGAGTCTGTTCACTAACATTGCCATTTAGACACCTTCACCAGGAAGCATGTCCAGCTGAACACAGTTGGGCTTTCTGCTGAAAGCACATGCATAAGAACCCACAAGCAAGGGTGACACAAGTATTATTTTCACCTGAATGAATATGCCAGTGTGAGGGCATCAAGATGTTCTTGCGCCATGTTGGTTACCCCTGCCCTATATTTATTTTTGGGCTCTTTGCAAGCTCATTCAGTCACAATTTCATAATTAGAAATGCTGCTCTGTTTGCAAGGCTCTGCATGCAACTGTAACATCTAGGCTGCGATCCCATGTAGCATATAAACTTATTTGGAATAAATACTGTTGCTCAGTGGACCTTGAGAGTAAGATTGCAGTGTTGAGAGACTGTTGAGCTGCATCTCTACAGAGAGGCGGAAGTCTGGTTCTCAGACAGCAGATGAGGAGGTAACTCTGTACCTGAACTGTACCACTTCATACTGTCAACTGGAGGGGAGGGTTTTACACAGTGGGATGCTACACACAAAGCAATTCCCTGCACTCAGTGTGTTAAGTATTAAGCAAAGCACATTCCTTCTGCCACGCACCCTTCAGTGATTTGTAGTGCAATCCTCTCTCCCTCTCCCTCTCCTTCCTTCCCATATTTTGTATTATATAAAATGTGATAGTATCATTATTTTTCACAGAGAAATGCTGATCAATTACTTTCTTTATGTTTATTACAGCAAGAAGCTGATTGCCCATACTCTTATTTGGCCTCAGTTTATTTGCCGTTAACCATAAACGTTCACATATTCATTCATTCTCCTAACTGGTTGTTATAGATCCCTCTCTGTATTAAAAAAACTAGAATTTTGGGGACATTTTTTCACAAGTGACATTAAGAGCATCTTTAGCATGGAATAAGTCAATTGGGTGTGTTTAATAGTGGTTATGTTAAAAGAAGATTTGTTTCAAAATGTGTATTCTAGTCAGTGTCATTCAGTTTGCATATTCAAAACTTAAGATGCTCATGATTTCTGAAAACTGTGTCTTGGTATAGCAAAGGTCTTGTTTCTGATCAATTTCTGTCTCACCTGGGAGCCTTGTCTATACATATTGATGTTGATTCTAATTGTGTATCAGCAATAATATTGGAAGAGAAATGTGCTTTCATGGCACTAACTCCAACTCAATGTTGATATCTACAGTTAGCAGCAGGGTTGGGAGAGCAAACGACAATCCTGTTAATCCATATCCTAATTGCAGTTGTTTCCTCTGGCATACAGAATGCTGAAATTCAGGGTTCACTCCAGGTTTTGTAAGGCCCTTCAGATGCTGTTGACCATGGTATTCTCCTGGATCAGTTCTGTGAGTTGGGGGTTGGAGGCACCATTTTTCAGTGGTTCTTCTCTCACCTGTAGGGCTGGTTGCAGAGAGTAGTGTGAGTGACTGTGTGTCAGCACCCTGACTGTTAAGTTGTGAGATGTCACAGGGCACTATTTTGTTCCCAGTGCTATTGAACATCTATGAAACCATTGGGAGATTTGGAGCATGATGTCTTCAGTATGCTGCTGACACTTACCACTATTTCTCTGTAACAATTGAATTGGGAATAAGTCCTGAACTGGTGCCTGGATGTGGTGGCAGGCTGGATAAGGGCCAATAAACTGAGGCAGAATCCTGGCAAGATGCAGACCTTACTGGGTGGTTCCTGGGTCTGGGAAATTTGGCACTCACCTTGTCTGGACAGTATTGCACTCCCTTTGAAGACACAGGTTCATAGTGTGGGGGTACTCATCGGTTTCATCTCTGTCACTAAAGGCTCCATTGGTTCCAGCTGGAACCCCAGCTGTAGCCATTCTTGGACAGTGATAATCTGGCCACAGTGGCCATGTATTTGTCTACTCAAGGCTTGACTCCAATGCAATTTCTGTGTGACTGCCCTTGAAGTTGGTCTGGAAGCTGCAGTTAGTGCAAAACCTTGTTTTAAGGATGCTATCATCAACGCTGTACACCTTTATCAAACCAGCTGCACTGGCTGCCTATAGGTTACCAGGCCAGGTTCAAGGTGCTGTTACTTATTTTCAACTCCCTGAACAACTTGGGTCCAGGCTACTTAAGAAGCCACCTCTCCCCTTACATCCCTCCCTAGCCACCATGTTCCATGGTAGAGGACTTCCTGGTGGCACCAAGAGTTCCTACTGTTCATTTTGCAGTCCACCACTGGTAGAGCTTTGAGTATTGTAGCCCCTTAAATGTGGAATTCATTACCATCCAAGATGAGGCACATTCCAACCATCTACTCTTTCAGATGCATGCTCCAGGCCTTTTTATTTACCTAAAGCTTTTCTGAATGAAATATTAGATTATTGCCCAGTGACCATCTTCTGGTGTTGTACTATAACTTTTTGTGTATATTTTACACTTATCTTTGGTTTTCTGTGCACTAGTCTGATACTTTATAATGTGAGTGTTTGATAGATATTTTAAACTAAATAAGACACACCCCATCCCCCACTTCCTTGGTGAATCTGCCTCCTCACTGCCCTTAGCACCAGCTGCTGGTCCTCTTTCTCACCATAACTTCTGTCTGCTTGCTTGCCTGCCAGGCAGAGACCAGCAAGCAGGCAGTGTGGTATCTACTGTTCTACTTTCTCACCACCACTATTGTCTGGGGCAGAGTGAAAGGTGGATGGACAAACAGGGGCAGCAGGCTGTTGTCGGTGGGATGTGACACCTTAGCAGATGTGGGACCTTGCTGACCTTGGGTTCTGGCCAGGGTCACAAAATGACTTGTCTGGACCTACTAAATTTCAATCTTTAATGACTAAAAAGAGAAGCCAAGAAGAATGGCATTGCTGGGAGAGCAAGTAGCCTTTCTTAATGTCTTATTCAAACTCTCTTGAAAGGATTATATATGCAATTATTTTCTTTTTAAAAAAAATCACAACTTTAAAATAGTCCCAGCGCTATCATTTGAACTCATCTTAACAATCCCAGATAATTATAAGTAGGAAGGAACACTCAATACACAATAAAATACAAATGCTTTCATTTTGTGTTTTCATCTTTGTATTCAGAAAGTAGGAATGGGGAAAATCCATTATTTGCAGAGATAAATGAGCACACACAACCGATGCTCTGAGATCCAAGGTGGTTTCTGTTGCTGGGAATGCTGTTTCACAGTAGGCTTCCGACATCACCAAACTCTCCCCATCAAGGCTTTTCTGGACTTGGCAGATGGCTTCTCTTTGCCAAAAAGCTTTCTTTCACTGTGGGAACCAAATCAGAACAGTCTGTATCTGGACAGACTACTCAATAGAAAGATTTTTTTTTTTTTTACTTAAGTACTTGATGCAAAAGGTTTTTAATGGACTGAAACACACAACCACAGAGCCATATGTCACTCAACCACTGCACATTGTGATTGAGAGGTCCATGTTGTTTTGTATAGTTCCTGTTAGAGGAACCGCTTCAAAATGCTCACTAATAATTTTAGTCTGGGAATATAAAATGTGGCTTCCCCAAAGACATTGCAGGAGCTTTAACTGTGGCTTTGGTTATTTTCCTAAAGTGTTAAGTGGTTTGATTTGCCCCGCTTGGCATAGCAATTATCTATGCACTTCTTAGAAGTGCTGTCAACATTGTTTCCCTTCGAATGAAATGCCACACACACTGCTGGCTTAGTCTAGAAAACCCAAACTGGTTTTCTTGCTCGAAAGCCAAACTACTTAAGGGCAGCATTTCCAAGTGGAAGGAATGCATGGAATTAAAAGGACAGAAGGATAAGCATGGCTAGTTCATGCCATCCAGGCCAACATGATGGCCAAGGGCTCATACTGCTTCTTATGTGGCCTCTTCCTGTTAATTGCTTTAACATGACTCAGTGACAGCTCAGAGCAGGCTGCTTTTGTGTGGTTAGCACTTTCATGTGCATATAAAATCTCCTTCTTTTCCCACTCTCTCCTTATTTGGAAAATACAATGTCTATCAGATATGGAATACACTGAATTATAATTCACAGTATTTAATGGTTAAGGCAGAGGTGCATTAGAGTAAGGTGTGTTTCACTGCATGGTGTGCAGGGGGGTCCCCCTTATTGGTTCTGATAAAATAATATAAATAATCAAAGGGACATATTAACCAGATTTAGCAAGCTGGGGCAGTGGGTCTTTCTATTGCTCCAAATGACATTATTTGTTGGGACCAAGCAAACAGTTGCATTTTTAGCCCTGTCAGTGGTTCCCTAAAGCAACATTAAAGGATTTGATTTGCAGGAAAGAAAACAAATCATTAAACTGAATCATACACATAATAGGCAATCTTCTTTTTAATTATCAATGAAATCCAAACTATTACTCCAGGACACATGAAAGTAGCATATTGCAGAGGTTAGAGATTGCAGGAAGCTATATTGCAGATCTTGAAATAGCTCCTTTGAAGAATATATTCATATGTTTTTATTTAGCTTTGCTCAATATGTAATTGATGGTTAGACACCTAAGAAATAAAATATGGATAAGCATTTCTTTAAAAAAGGTCATATTTTGGCACTAATAATGATTAGTACAGGTGAAGTCAGCCCCTCGATAATGAGTTCAACAGTAGTTTCATGGAATATTTGAAGTCTCCTTTGATTATGAGGGATCAAAACTCTTCCTTTCAGGGAGCTAATATATCATGAGCTAATGACTTGTTGCAGAACAAGAAATTTTGTTATAGCTGGTCTGATACTGATCCGCATGGCCTCTCCTGCCAGAGGAATAACAGTCAAATCTAGAGTGAAACATTTCAAATGCTTAACAGTACAAAACTTCCCACAGCTTTCATATGGGTATGAACATGGTAAAATCCAGTTTAAATGGCAGAGGAAGTGTAGTGTGACTAACCCTGATTGACTGAACTCTTCTATGCCCTGTCCAAGATCCCAGGCAATCTACTAAAGGCTACAAATGCACATTAAGAGTTTGGCTGCAAGGAAATAATATATGTGTAAGAAATGCTTGTTTCCTATAGTGTATGATTTGCAAAGCACTCCTCATTTCTCATTATGCTAAACATGTATCTTACAGCTAGGTGATAATTCCCATAGAGAGATTAATGTAGTAAATCCCAGTCTTTACAAGGCTTCCAGGGGAGTTGCCTAGGTGTATTTTAAAAATGTATCTTACAAAGGCTGGCAACATACATTTCTGTTAAAGCTTATTTCTTATGTCAGTTCATTATGATTTTGGTGCAGCACCTAAACCTGTGGCTTTGATATGTTATTAATTATGCTACATTCTGGTGATGCTGTGGGCGCTTGCAGATGGTGGTGTGAGGGTTAAATTACCTTAGAATCATAGAATTGTAGAGTTGGAAGGAACCCTGAGGATCATCTAGAGCAGCGGTTCTCAATCTGTGGGTTCCCAGATGTTGTTGGACTACAACTCCCATCATCCCTGAGCTCTGGCCTTGCTAGCTAGGGGTGATGGGAGTTGTAGTTCAACAACATCTGGGGACCCACAGGTTGAGAAAGGCTGATCTAGAGCAGCCCACTGCAATACAGGAATATGCAGCTGGCCCATATGGAGATCGAAACTGCAACCTTGCTGGTATCAGAAACGCGCTCTAATCAATGGAGCTATCTGATCCTATTAGTAACCAGATAGTTTGGAGTCGAAGGATTGTGCCTGGTGCTAGTCCTACTCAGAGTAAACACACTGAAAATAATGGACCTAAGTTGGTCATGGTCATTAATTTCAGTGGGTTGACTGTGAGTAGGACTAGCATTCGATATAACCCCAAGTTAACTGATTAACTGTTTTGCATTGTTAAATGTTTAAAGTTATGACGTTGGCTGCCTTGTAAAAAAGAAAAGAAAAGAAGAATTGCTTAAGAGAGTTTAAGCAAGTTGATTCTAACTCATCAAAGTGGAAATGCAGGAATTGGGGGAGGTGGAGAGTCTGTATAAACCATAATGTGTCTTTGTAAAACAGGCCATGCGGCTGCTCCCTTTATTATGTTATTTTCCAATCTGCCAACAAACTGAAACAAGTTTACCCAGATTTACAGCTTAGCTGGAGCCTTAGGAAGATCAAGGTACCTTTCTACAGCTTCAGCACATTTGAAGATCTGTCATAGGATGTTGAACTATCGCACCACACTATGTGTGTGTGTTGGGTGTGTATCATTCATTCAGGTGTTAGACCTAAGGTAATTCATTCAGGGAAGAATTGCAGGAGCTGGTGTGTTTTAATTCTCCCCACCACCTTACGTTTGTGGGGGTTTTTGGTATGGTATGTGGGGAAGGTTAAAGACCAGGCCTATGGAGGTTGGCCCATTTGGTCACTGCCCCACTAACTTTTGTCTTCTGGAAGTCCAGCCTCACTTACCTGCCTTCTTACTTACAAGAAACCCAAGGGAGGTAGTAATTGTTAGCTTCCTCCTTCTTAGTCTCAGTGTTGCCTTTCTTGAACGCAGCAGGGGAGAGGATGGGGAGAAAACTAGGATTGGTCGGCTCTGCCTATCATTGACCACAGCTCCACCAGCTGTTGCTTCCCTTGCCTATGAGTCCCAGTGGCAACCATTCACCAGTGAACACCGTCAACCCCTTTGCCACTTCCCTTATCAAACTAGCAGGCCACTTACGACTTTTAGAAGGTGACTTTAGGCAGCATCACACATTATAGACAAGTAACAGCAAAGGAAACCTGAGTGAATCATACTTCCTCTGTAACTTGCACAAGCTGGAACCCTGAAATTATCATCACTGATAACTGGGTGTTGGCAACCAACTTTTGGGCAAGTTACAAGTGGAACTTGCAACAAAGTGTTGCAATGTGGAATCTCCTTGTTCAGAGTTTTCCATTCCATTCCCAGCATTTCATGTCCACAGAACATGATCATTTTGCTTCTCCCTCCACCCACCCCTTTAGTGTGTTTTCCATAAAGACTTTCTGTTCTTCTGCAAACCTTGGGATACCCCGAACCTGCTCATTCCTCCCTCTTGTTTGTAGATGGTGCCCTTTTAGCTACATAAGAACCTTCACTCAGAAAACGGAGTTCATGTTGGCGTATCTGTTGCAATAAGCAACAGAAGATTCCTTGTCTGCCTAGATGATGTTTGTTTTGCTGTAATTATTTATGATGATACTTAACAGTGGAAAAATAGCCAAATGGGGCATTTTTAAAGGAGCATTTTATTCCATCCATCGTCTTTCTTGGCCCTGGGGTGGTTTACAAATGTATTAAAACACCATGTTCTATGCATTAAATCATAGTAATACATGGGAAGTGAAATTAAAACAAATACACAAATAAGGTTGGAGAACCAACAATGCTGTGGATACTTCCATAAACTCCCAATGCTTCAATGCTTGGGAAAATAAGCAAATTTTATGCTGACACCAGCCAAACTTCCATGAGGAGGGTGACTACAGTTAGAGCTCTACCATAAGAACATCTAGTCCAGCATCCTGTTTTCATAGTGGCCAACCAGATGCATGTGGAAAGCCTGTGGCAGCATGCCTAGTAGCCATTGATGGCTTTATATTCCATGAATTTGTCTAATCCGCTTAAAAATAAAAAGGCATCCAAACTGGTGGTTGTCACTACCTCCTATGGGAGCAAATTCCATAGCAATTAGGTGCTGTTTGAAAAGCTACTTCCCTTTGTCTGCCCTGAATTTTGTACCATTCAGCGTCATTGGATGGCCACAGGTTATAGTTTTATGAATCATAGAATTGTAGAGTTTGAAGGAACCATGAGGGCCATCTAGTCCAATCCCCTGCAATGCAGGAATCTTTTGCGCAGCATGGGGCTGAAACCCACAACTCTGAGATTACGAGTCTACCAACTGAACTATCTCAGTGTGGTAGAATGCTCTCCACCATTGAAAGAGCCTGTATATGTGCTTTGTCTGAACACCAAAGTAACCACCGCCAGGGATGTAAAATGCCTGTGGTCAGACACTCCTCACACATAGGATATCGGATAATATCATTTTAAGCATTATGCATGGAACACTGGCAGTGATGTGTTGGGATGGGATGTTTCAATCAGCCCTTACTGGCTACATTTCCTGGTTCTAGATCCACTGCAAGCTGTGTTCCATCCAATGAAGATGGAATAGAGTAGATGGCCTCTTTAATGAGTTGGAAAATAATGAGAACTCCTTCCTTTTTGGAATCAGTAGAAACCTGGGGTGCTGCCTTTCCCTATGGAAGCACACAAATTATCTGGCTGGTGGTATTTTATACAAGACACCCTAAGTGTTTAAGATGATTCAAAGCTTTCTCAATGAGATTAAGCTATAACTCTCTTGCATTTTAATGCATTGTAAATGCAGAGGGAAAGAAGTGTAGTTCAGCATGCAAATTAGCTCTGCACTTCCTATAATATGACTCTTTACAATGTGGCAGCTCATGCAGGGATGTTAAACAAATTATTCTTAGGGAGAGATAACAAGAAGTGGCAAATATATATGTAATATTTGTTTTTAAAAACTGCTGTGGCAGAATGCCCACAAACCAATTTGAAAGTGTTACATTTAAAGCAACAATGAATAGTATTATGCGAGCTAGCCATATCTCCTCTGAATCCCTTTCCATAAATATGGCGTACCTGATACATTTCCCCTCTGCAGTTGTTGATTATACAGAATTAATAGCCCTTGTTTAAACGGATATGCAACACTTGAGCATTTTAAATAGCACATGCTTGCTACCTCAGTCACTTCCAAGATGTTTGCTTGCAATGAGTTTCTACCTTACATATTCAAGATGAAACCTCTGCTATAATTTAGACAATTAGTTACCTTGGAATGGAAGCAAGGCAAGAATATCTAATTAAAGAGGGCCTCTCTTGTTCATTGTCTGACTAATCTGCAGAATATATCTATAGTTCAGAAATAGAAGGGGTGGGGGTTCCTAACTTCCAGAGAGCTGATTCAAATCCAGGATAGCTGGAGCAGGTTCATAGTCATCACCTTTAAACTCTGCCTGATAGTTTCAAGCTTCCCCCGAGAAATATGATTTCTTCTGAGTCCATATTTCAAGATATTCATGAGAGAGAATTCAGGGCTTGACATTTGAGTCATTTTTAATCTTTGGTTTACATTTATCTGGGGATAAAGATGATCATTAGTGTGTACTGTTTAAAATACGAAAAAAGAACGGACACTACTCTTGGAGGAGCTAAAAAAGCTCCTAGTATTTTTTTTGCTCGCTGGTGAATTGTGAGTCAAGCCTTTTCTTTGCAGCTATGATGCTGTGCACCTCTGAATTCATTGCTCTTTACCAAAATAATATGAAAAGGAAAGGGGCTCAAAACAAATCACTCTGTGGCTAACCATATTCTTGTAGGTAATTTCTTATATTTGGAATAAGAATATTAAATATTGGTCATCCAGTAATCTTTTGGAATTAAAATCCAGCTGACCAGATAATGTTTTTGTATCATCCCAATGAGTCTTAACCCATGTTATGGTGAAATTATGAACGGCATGAATGAAACAAATGACACATTAAAACTCTGGAAAACAGTGGGTTGGCTATTACTGACAAGAGGAATTATGATCCCAGCTCACCAGTTCCCAGGTGATGGGGTTTTTTTCCAGGCATAGCTGACACAAGAAGATGTTTTGGAGTAAGCAGCTAGTGATAGACACTTGTGCTATGCTACCTACACAGACCCAGAAGATGCAAGAGATCATCTTAGTGCTGGCACTGTGGGGCCTGTTCTGAACTTGTTCAAAATATTACTAGGATTAATTCTATCTTCTGGATGGTGCACAGATGGTCCCCTCTCATGCATGCTGCAAAGAATCATAGAGTTGGAAGGGACCACAAGGGCCATCTAGTCCAACCCCCTGCAGTGCAGAAGTCTTTTGCCCAATGTTGGGGCTTGAACCTATGGCCCTGAGATTAAGAGCCTCATGCTCTACCGACTGAGCTGTTGTGTGTTTGTGTTTTAACCACCCCCAAAATTTCAATTCTAATTTTTCTTTTAGAATCCATTTCTCACAGGGCTTTAGTGATTCCAGTTTCCCACATGTTGCTTTCAGTCAATGTGGCTTTGTCAAAAGCAGTCTGGTTGCCACAGCAACAGAGCTGTTAACACTAAAGATGTCATTGCTTGAAGGTAGGGAGAAGGGGGGATGGGTTTCTCTGGCTCAGCTGTGTCTCTACAGCAGAAACCCCTATTGCAGCCACATTAGAGTACAAGGGCCCTATTGTGTCTGATGAGCAAAAGCCTTTTTATAATGTTCCTCTTCCCCTTTCCCTTTTAGATCTAGTTACAGTCACACTTTGACACTTGGGGAGGTGCTTGATCTGGTGAAGCTCTCTATTCTCTTCGCCAGGCCTTCTTTCTGACCAAATGGGGAGTTTGTGTGTAAAGCAGAGCATGCTCAAAGGCCTTGACCTGCAGCCAGTGGGTTTGTCTTGGCAATCTTTGTAGTGTGTAGAGTATAACCCCAAATGTCATTGGCATAGCTGTCAACTTTTCCCTTTTTTAAAGGGAAATTCCCTTATTCCGAATAGGATTCCTTGCAAGAAAAGGGGAAAGTTAACAGCTATGGTCACGCCCGCCCCCCTTGCTGCTTTACACTAGAGTAGTGAAATGATCAGGAAAATGATCTGTGAATCTGAGAGTCCCTGGTTCAAAGTTTACCTGACCCATGAATTCACCGGGCAATAATCCAAACAACAGAGCATTTTGTGGCACCTTAAAAGATTGCCACCCTTTTAAGAACTGCTGTTGGGCTGGTGCCACCTGCCTCAAGGTAAGGGGAGCTGGATTAGAGCTGCTGCCTTGGGGCAACTGTGCTCGTTCCTCTACTTCTAGCACTGCCACTTGGGCAAGTTCCTGTTGCTGCCACCATCACCTGTCAATGCCAATGGGGGACTGCCAAGGGCCCTGGCAAACCATCCTTATTACCTAGATGAACTTGTTCATAACGTCAGCTGAATAAGTTTCTGGTTTAGGAACATACAAGGCCAGACTACCTGTCCATCTAGCCCACTATTGTCTGCTGTGCTTGGCAGCATTTATGCGTAGTCTCAGGCAGAGGTCCTTCCCATCACCTGCTACCTGTTCCTTTTAGCTGGAGATGCTGCCAGGGATTGAACCTGGGACCACCTGCATGCGAAGCATGTGCTTTGGCACCGAGGGCCAAAATAGGTATGATGTCAAATGCACACCTCCTTCTGATAGTTAACTACCAGTAAGTATGCTGTAGGGGAAGAATATGCAGGAAAACCTTGGGCAGAATTCACCTATAAGCAGAAGGATTTGTGCTTGCCCTGCTACCCACCAAGTTGGCTCTGGAGGGACCAAGAGAGCCCTCAGAACAGCACACTAGGGAAAGAGAAGGGGGATCGTTCTGCCTGAGAAGCCAAAATGCTTGTGGTGATGGGACAATCAGAAGAACATTGAGCAACCCCTCTTGATTTGCGGGGGGTGGGGAAGCTGTTTCTCCCAACCACCTGTGCCCCCTCCAACAGAAGAAAGTTTAGCTGCACTTTGGGAATTCTGAACAATAAGCAGCAGCAGTTGAAGGCAGTGGGCAGGCACAAGGAGCGCAGATGCAGGATAAGATGAAAAGCATCCCCAGGAATTGCAGCCCAAGCTTATATGGATTATAATTGATCAACATTTTCTAAATCCTTTGTTGGTTTTTAAAAAGGAGAGAGGGTGGAAGGACTCACGAGCTCACATGTCCACATTTCTTAATTTGCATAGAGGGATAAATAAAGTTGACGGTATTTGGAACGCTGAAGATATGTGCACAAGATAAATGATGGCAGTAAACCATGGGGAAGGCTTAGAGCATGTTCAATTTAAGTCTACAGCAATTAATTACAGTCCAAAAGAGAATACTATGATGGTATTCATCGGGAGGAAGGGCTCAGAGATAATATAAATGGTGTTAAAGAGCTTGAAGTAATATTTGAAAACTCCCCAAAATCAAAGCATATAGCCTTTTAGGAAAGTTGTTGTATTTGTAATTGGGATATTAAATATAGATGTATCAGTGATATTTAGGAATTATTGGGGGAATTATAAATTTATTATTTAAAATTTCAGCCCAGTCCTGTGAATATTTAAGTCTCATGGGCAACTAACTACTCATGGTGAGCTTGTCATAAATACCAGGAAATGTCCTAGAACAGATATTTGAACAGTGGACCAGAGGTTGTCGACTCTACTTCCTTGGAAGTTTTTCAGCAGAGGCTGGATGGCCTTCTGCCATGGATACACTAGTTGAGATTCTTGTTTCAAGGGTTGGACTAGATGGCCTTTGGGGGTACCTTCCAACTCTGCAATTCTGTGGGTTTATTGGGCGCTTACTCTCACATGTATTGTATAGGACTTCAATCAAAGCACAATCCTAACAATGGTTAAACTGCAGTAAATGACAAGTATTCTTCTGGGACAGTTTTCAAGAAGCTATGTTTCTGATTGCAGCTGTATTGTTGAGCAATCCAGTCCTGTTCAGAGCTTGTTAGCAAATGGTTTATTGTGGGAGCAAGGGAAGATATAGCTGAACTGAGGTCCTCCTGATGTTCTTGTACTGCAAATCTCATCACCCCCTACCATTGGCCATGGGGGCAGGGCTCATGGGAGTTGGAGTCTAACAACATATGGAGGGGCACAGGCTGTAATTGTAACCCTACTTACCTGAGAGTAATTCCCACTGAATTCAATAGGACTTAACTTTTGAGGAAACATTGTTAAGATTGTCCCGTTGAGCACATACATCTGGAAGAAAATGGGGCAGAAAAAGGGCCCATCTATACTGGTGCTTTTTGTGGGTGTATTCTGAAGATCACTAATGAAACAATAGTGCGTTGGTTGTGGATATATAGTGTATTATTTTACATCTATTTACATTACAGTTCCATGCATATTGTCAGGAAGAAGGCCCAATAAACCACTTTGAGTAATATTTTTGAAAATTGGATTCTTATTTTTTGTAAAGTTAATGTAAGGTTTCAAGAAACTTACTAAAATGGGGAAACATTCGGAATAAAGAGTACTAGGAATGAAGAGTATTGTTGAAAAGAAAGGAAGTTCAAATTTCATACCCAATGTTATAAACCTGTGAAATAAAACTTGAGGAGGTTTTTTTTAATTAAAGAAATTAATGTGTTAATAACAGTTCAGATACAATTTTTAGCATAAAATATTTTAATATATAACAAATATAATTTATAATATTCTTAAAGAGACTAAATGGCTTTCATCACATATACTGTATAGTACTGTATTTTTTGTTCTATAAGACTCACTTTTTCCTTCCTAAAAAGTAAGGGGAAATGTGTGTGCGTCTTATGGAGTGAATGCAGGCTGCACAGCTATCCCAGAAGCCAGAACAGCAAGAGGGATTGCTGCTTTCACCGCAGCAATTCCTCTTGCTGTTCTGGCTTCTGAGATTCAGAATATTTTTTTTCTTGTTTTCCTCCTCCAAAAACTAGGTTTGTCTTGTGGTCTGGTGCGTCTTATAGAGCGAAAAATGCGGTAATTTCTGTCCCTCTTTGCAGGGCCTCATTGTCATTCATATGAGGAACTTTGTCTTCATTTCTGATTAAGTCACAGGGGTATCACAGCAGGGTAAAACAAAGTGATCTTTTCCTAACCTCTCCCAGTTATACAGGACAAACTGCTGTGCAGACAAATCCCTTAAAGCGACTTTTTAAAGATTTCAGTCTTAAAATACATGTCAAGCTACAAACCTAATTTATAGGAAACCTGTAGTGTTCACTCCTGCAGGAAGTTGAGAAAATACAATGAATTTTTACACAGCAAGGATTATTTTATGAGAGGTAATAAATATGCACCTCTGGAAGCATATTAAATTCTGCAGGTTTGATATTTTGAAACTATTAAGAGTTATGTTGTGCTTTTGCCAAAGCGTGCAGTAATAATGCTGGTATTGAGACTTACTCAGGAATGAATTTTTATTTCTCTTTCCATATCGGAGTTCCTACTTTTCATAACCAGGAAGACCGGCTGCGATTGTGCATCTGTCACAAGAGATCACAACTGTCTAATAGTGTAGCCCTATATAAATATATACTGAGACATAAGTTCCATTGAGTTCAGTTGTACTTACTCACAGGTCACTGTGTATAGAATTTATGCACGTGGCAGAAATTTGGTTTGCATTTTAATATGAAGCTTTTAATTTGCATTAATTTGCATTAGGCAAGCCAGAATGCAAACTGTCTTTTGAAATGTGCACATTCCTGGCCAAGCAGGAAAAAAAAATGCATATGAAGAAACCAAAGTATTAGGAGTTCACACAAAAATTACGTATTTGAAAAAAAGCATACACAAATGCATTATCTTAGGAAAAACTGCTTGCAGTAATGTGTACATTAGGAGAAATGTGTACAAGAATGAATATGATTTTTGTGGCACTTTTCCCCCCCAAATCAAATTGATGCAGAAACTGGGCAAACTGAACTGAAGATTAGAAAAATGAGAAACTGAAACTGACAGATTTGCCCATCCCTAAGAGGACTGTAGTCTAAGGCATATATGTGCTACACTTAAATTAACTTGCTTAAGGAAGGAAAAAACTTGGAGTCTATTATATTAATGGAACATCCTTCTGTCATGTTCTAAATTTATGTAGTAGTCATGTGACTTGATGCAATGTTTAGGAAACACAAGAGAGAATGCAAATTATAGGATGGGGGACACATTGCTCTAGAAGCATAAGGAATTCCATGAATATCTATCTATGACACACAAACACATGCACACACACCAAAGGCATTACAATTAGAAATTGTTCTATAAGTATAGGAAGAAGTAGTAGGGGAAATTGGACATTTAAAATTTGCATGTCTTTCCAAAAAAAAACAACAACCTACTTCTAGAGGAGAGAATTGCTAGAATAAATAGCCCACCTGGATTTTACAGGAAAGCTCAAAGAGGAAGCTATTGGATGCTCGCTTGCTAGCTGTTTCCCATACATAACATTTTGAATTCCAGGGTAAATTTGTCTTGCCATGCCATGTCTATTGCACCTGTGCCATTTTTGCTGCAATCCTCTATCACTGTAGGCTCAACCTTCCTAGACTTCAATGTGGGTTCTGCTCCTGCTTCAGCTTTGCCCCATGGACTGAAATCCTGCAAATCCAACATCAGCTTCCCTTGTTTAAGTTTTCATTGTTAAAGGTTTTTGGTTTTAATAGTTTTGTGTTGTGCACCAGTCTTAGTAATGGAAATTTCACAAAATGCAAAGTAGATTGCATCTACACCCAATGTGTATAGAAAACAGGTAGAAATTTAGTAAAGATGACACATGGAAGAAAATTACAAAGACTGATCATTTTTAAAAGAAGCAGCACAGAAGGTTATCACAGCATTAACAGTATGTAAAAAGCTATCAGAAACAAGAGGGAAGACAGCTGTTGGCTGGTAGAAAATAGAGCAATGGGTTCAGAGTTTAATTTCATTAAAAACAGGTTTGGGTTGAGGTTAGTATGGCCCAGATTTATGGAATCACCTTTTCTTCCTGAGCTCTTCAGAAAGACTGGGATAATGCCTTTCAAATACACTTTAAATCTAGAAATTCATGATGATAGATAATTTTATATTTTGGTTGAAAGCCTTTTCCAGTTGTAGGATAGAGTACTGCAGTACTTAATGTATTTGCTTTAATTTCCAAGAGCTGTACAAGCATGAATGTGTTGACTCAGCCTTGGAAGAAAAAATACTGTTGCCCTCTTCTTACAGACTGGAGATTTAGGCTCTCTCAAGGTCACCCCATGGTAGCAACAAGACTTGTATACAGGTTTCCAGCTGTGTTGTCTAGGCATCAGTGTCCATGTGCATGGTACTGGACCCTTGATCTAATAGATTATCTGTAACAGGTAACAAGTTCCTTTCAACTCTACTATTGTGTGGTGGTTTGTCCCTTTTAGCAAAGATTCTCCCATGTACGACTTACCAGTATAGTGTTACCTCTGGATATGAACAGGATCTGTTCCAGAGTCCCGTTCGCATCCTGAAGTAAACATAACACACGAGTGTGCGGGTCGCGTTTCGCTGTTTTGCACATGCGTGTGACGTCATTTTCAGCGTCTGCGCATGCACGAGCGGTGAAACCCAGAAGTAAGGTGCTCCGTTACTTCCGGGTCGCCGTGGAGCGCAACCCGAAAATACTTAACTTGAAGCTACTTCAACCTGAGGTATGACTGTATTGGTGCATTTCTGTTCCAGTGTCTGTTCTGAAGACAGGCACAGCAGAGTACTAATTGCTCTTGTTAATTGAAAATCTTGATATTGGAGCACTTTGTGCAATTGATCTGAGCATTTAGAAGAAGCTACTTGCATACAGTTCCTGCTATGTTTTTCCCCCCCTAACTCAACAATCCTAGTTCTAAACTTGTGAGAAACAGTTTGCTCTTTTTTATATCATTTGTTTCGGACGCAGAAAACATGGTCAGATGTACACACAATTAAATTAATCCCCTTTAGTTTTTCATAGTAATATAAACGGCTGTAAGAGCTTCAGATTCTGGAAAGGCAGCCGCTTCTGAAGTTGGATTTATCTGCGTATTGGTTAATCACTTCAGACAGGCGCCTTACATTCTGTCAGAGCCCTCCAATTATTTACAGTACACAAATAATTAGTGAAGCACAAAGGGACAAAACTGTTAGCTGCCTGTACTTCTGAAATTTATTGTACCAGGTAAGCTTGCTGAAGGATTAACTGGGTTGGGTTTCAGTGGAGGCTTGCTAAATCTGGAAAGTGACAAAATGTCATCCCACAGGATTTCCAAAAGCAGCCTGAGAAAAGACAGATAGATAGAAAAGGATTGATGAGAAGGTCAATTCATTTAGAAACTGCTGCAATTATGATGGATTGATATGGAGTGGAAATTTCCTCCAGTCTCAATGCTGTATTATCTTCTTCTTGTTGCTAAGGTGCTCAGTGGCTTACTGAGTGTGAAAGGAGTGGGATGAGCAAGGAAAAGATTTGGAGTAGCTTGAAAGACAGCTATGCTTCAGAATTTGACAGATGCTCCTGAAGCTACATGCCTATTACTATTAAAAACATTTTGTGTTGAATATCTGAGAAGCATAACTGACTTGTCACCAATGGAAAAAAAGTTCAGTATTATAAACTGATGTTATTGATTAAAGGCTTATAAGCAATGTGCTTCTTCACATCCCCTAAGTAGCTCAGTGTGGTGTGTTTTAATTAGGACGTTTAAAGTACAGACAACTCTCTGTTTGCACGAGGGTTGCGTTCTGGGCATTCATGCATGTCGGTGAAGTGCACATAAGCCTGTCCCATCCCATTCTTCCCCTGTTCTGGATCCAAAACGACCTGCATGTTGGTGGTCGTGTGTCAATTTGAAGCGTGCAAAATGGTCGCCGCCTGTATTCAAAACTTATGGCATCTCCAGGGGGATGGTTGATATATGGGAACCAGAAACCTGGAGAATTCCTTAGAAAAATACCACTTTTTGTATTAACCTATACATATCCAGGCTTACCATATGTGCACAGTAATGCTATGGATATGATTGTTTAGCTTACCCTATCTATATTAATTGGCCATACTGTTTACTTCTGGTGACAATTTCATGATTGACCTCCCAGGAAGACCATGGGTGGGTTGAAATGCGTCTGGTCTTCAGCATCCATTTTCTAATTGTTGGTCACATGGGCTTGATGTTTAGGCAGTACCTTGCATTGCTCTGTTCACAATGAAGACATTTTAGAAACATCATTTATATGCTGTATGTATGGTTATATATGTGACAAGATTAAAGCTTAATTCTATTTTTTATATATTTTAGTAGCAATCCTTTTTTTTTTGCTCATACTCAACTTTATGCCTTAGAATTACATGTTGTCAACATGTATTCATTTGAGAAAAGTATACATTCTTTAAAAGGTGTATTTATTTATGAAACACTTCCTAGGAAGCATCTTTGCAAAAATCTCAAAACTTATGTAACAGAATTGCATATATAAAAGCAATTTGAACAGTTACATATATAGCAACAGTTTTAAAAAACACACACACATGGAAACAATTTCAAGTTCCAATACAGATAACTGACTGGTATCTATAACCGTTCACCGCAGTTGTTGTACAGAATGCTGAAAGTGTGTGGGGCGGGGGGGGGGGGAATAGAAATAGAGGGATGCATTCAATGAGGGGGATATTTTTAGTGCTGAGAAATAAAATTGTTTGGGGCAAATGCAAAATAATGGAAATTATGCTCTGAGGGTATTGCTACAGATTCATACCAAAAGGGGAATGAACATTTTGAAATCAATATCGAAGTGGTTATTATGGCCAAGAAAAGGATTGCCGTGTTTTTTGCTCTATAAGACTCACTTTTTCCCTCCTAAAAAGTAAGGGGAAATGTGTGCATGTCTTATGGAGTGAATGCAGGCTGCGCAGCTATCCCAGAAGCCAGAACAGCAAGAGGGTTTGCTGCGCAGTGATCCCTCTTGCTGTTCTGGCTTCTGGGATTCAGAATCCCCCCCCCCTTGTTTTCCTCCTCCAGAAACTAGGTGCGTCTTGTGGTCTGGTGCGTCTTATAGAGTGAAAAATACTTAGTTCTCTGTGTGTGTACACATATAATGTGAGTAGGACCAATTGAAATCTGGCTAGGCTCTGGTTCTCATTCCAGAATTAAGGTATGGCCACAGCGGGTACATAAGCCTGAAGCTCGCTCCTGTGCAATGCTGTGTCCAGTCTTTGTGAATTGCCAGCCCTGTATGTCAGACTGTTCCTTTGTCGTGGGGGGAACAGTTGTTGAGGAGTATACCTGGAAGTTAGAGCACCTCGGCCACCTCTGTTTCCACTTTATGAGAAGCTGAAGCACATTTGGTGGAACAACCATATTTAGTAATGATTTAAGGATGAACTCTTCAGTGGATCAGTAGATTAATCAACCAATGCTTGGGTTGATTCATCAGTTCAGACAAATGTAAATCTGGGGATGGGGAGGCGATTGAAAAGAAGCATACTTTGTTTAAACTATTTTGGCTCTAACATCAAACTGTGATAGGAAACTGAAAAAGAAAATGCTGTATGTTAACATAGACTTTATTCCACCATCTTCATGTGCTTTTGGTGATACAGAAATTTGTTTAATTTATTAAATGCATGATTAATAAAGTAGAAAAAGTCTTGAATCAGCAATCCTACAGGAGTAGGATAACTGGACTTTTTAAAACAAAAAGTGATGTTCTAGAAAGTATAATTCTTTGAAAGTGAATACAACTCAAGACATGGTGCTGCTGATGTAAACTGACATAATAGTTACAGCAAATGTGTACTACAGCATTCCAGTATTTTTTAAAAAACATAGGTTATTAGAGTTCACATTGTATTTCACCCCGTGTTTATAACTGCATGTAAGCACCACACATCATTGCTTGGAAGAAGCAGCTTCAAGTCATCTGAACCATCCTTTTGTACTTGTCTTGATTTGCTTGTTTTCCCAAAATCTGTCTATTTTTCTTCAACCTTTTGGAGAGTTCAAATTTCTTTCATCTCAAATACTAGATAGAGGGAGAAAACAAAAGCTCTAATTTTAGATCTTGAACCTTCCTTTATTGAAGTGGAAGCAAGATAACAGCTTAACTCCATGCGCGTCTATTTTGCAGGAAGCCCTATTTGGAGTGGAACATATTCTGAAATAAGGGCCAAACATACACTAAATGCATAACTTAGCACAACTTGACCTCATGTAGTGGCATCACTGTGTACCCTTTTTCCACCTGCACTACACATTTTAATTGATGGGGGGGGAATGCAAGCATGAGGTTACTTGTGCTTAGCATGATGGTGGAGGAGAAACTAGACATATGGCCACCATTTTCAGAGGTTGCCACAACTTCCAGTTCAATGTCTATCCCTAAGTATTCATACCATAAGCCTGCTGGATTGGGCCAATGGCCCCATCTAGTCCAGCATTCCTATTGTCACAGCGGCCAACTAAATGTCTGTGGGAAATCGTCAAGCAAGACCTGAGCACACAAGCATTCTTCCTTCCTGCAGTTTCCAGCAGTTAATATTCAGAGTTAGGAATTCTGGGCAGGATTTTCTGAAAACATCAGTGTCATCAAACTTATCTCCATGGATTATTTTCAGTTTGTGTCTAATTGATCTCGATGAGAAGCAAGCTTTTTTTTCTTTGCTGGTTTTCTCATGTTATTTGGATCACTATACATATACTACTATGGGCATATGCTTCAAGTTTCCTAAAGAAACGCTGACATAAACAGATAATCATAAACATAAAAAATACTTATCTATTAATGCTTATAAAATTGTGCCACAGAAATCTAGTTCATCATATCTCTTAAGTTTACTATAAACTTAAACTTTAAACCTGTTTGGAAAATAAAGACTATAAGTAGCAATATTACAGCATGAGATAAAATAAGTCTTGCAAATATTAATTATGGCAGGCAAAACTAGCAGCATTTTTAAATTTTATTTGATTTTTTAAAAACTTTAATGCTACCTAGAACCTCCACCATTTGGGATGAGGAACCTGTAGCCCTCCAGGAGTTGTTGGACTACAACTCCCACCATCCCTCCTAACTCCATTTGGTTGGCCACACCAGGAAGAAGATGCTGGACTAGTAGATGGTGACTGGGCTGTTCATATGCTCTTACATCTTTAACATACATAGACTCGGGCTGTGATACACGTTTAACAGGGAGGAAGTCCCATTCAATTCAATGAGACATACTTCTGAATAAACACGTACAGGATTGTGATGAAGCCATTGGTGAAACCACATTTTGCACTTGTTATAAAATTTAGAACAAGGTTGTTGTTTTTTGTTTTTTAATGATGTATTCAGTGGTAGGAATCACTGAATAGTTAGACAAGTCAGAGTAAAAAACTTAATTAGCTTGATACGCTACTGCTGCCTTAGTTGAGTTTGTATGCAATTTTTCATTGGAGCTAATCAGCCCAAGGATGCTTATACTTACATTTTAGCATCTATTATGGGAACCATTCTGTATAAAGAACAGTAAGACAACAAAGATATGGGGTGGCCTTTTGAACAGAAAGCATGACCAGAGTTTTGTTGGTTTTTTTAAACAAAACCAAGAGACATAAAGGAAAGTGTGTGTTTGTTTGTAAAATAATTGCTATAAATCCATACAAATCCACGAAATGAGCAGAGTGAAAAATAATTCTGTAGTTCTACCACTTCAGAGGAATATTTAACCGAAAGCTGGGGTTTAAAGTATGCATTTTATTCTGTGACAGACTTCTTTCAAGATATTTTTGAGGAGTTGATTATGTTTTTTCTTATTTTGGAATTAAAATAGCTTTGGCTTTTCAACTCCTGAGTTACTAGAGATGTTTCCTGGCAGGGGGTAAACTGGAGTTCAAAATCTAATTAAAAAAACAAAAGAACTATAATAGCATGTGTACCTCCCCCACTCCAAAAAATCAAAGCTTGTTTCAGAGACACCCTGAATCCAGGTGTGTTTGGCAGTGATGAGATGGTGGAAAGGTAATAATGATGGCACTGTTAACACTGGCACTGTGTGTTCTTAATATTTATGGAAGTCTGTAGGTGGGCATAGTCACTACAGGGAGAATAAATTTAATTTAAAAGACAATAAAAGGCAGAGGCTGGAGAGAAGGTATATGAACCTTGTACCCTCCACAGAGCTGGAAGAGAAACTGCCTCCATCTAAGGTTATAGTTGGTCCCTTTTAGATTCAGCTGTTGATATTTACTTGAATAAAAAAACTATTTTCACACAGATAACAGTAGAATGCTGGAACACAGGCTGCGTAGCCATATCTTGCTTCTGCTATTCAGAATTCGTCTCTATTATGCAGTGTGCTGGCAAGTACTGATTTCACACTATCATACTCTTTGGTAAGCTTTTGTTTTACTCGTAGTCAGTAGCATGAGAATAATCCAGCAGTGACTTCGGTAGGATGTGGGTTGCTAAGTAGTAAGTAATAGTTGATGTCCTCAACAATTTGAGGGCACCATATGGGCTACCGCTTCTCTACACAGTTACAGAACATAATGTCATGGACTTTGTTTCTCCATTGCTATTGTCACTTGAAATGGCAGCTGAACCCTTCTAGAGAACTGCAGCTGCATGGCTTGGTCAAGCTTCCTTTGTATAAGCACAAGTTAACATGGAAACGTGTTTACCAGTTCTGTAGCACATCATATTCTGAACAATGATGAAAGGTGGCATGGTATGTCACTCTGTAGCTGTGGAAGTTTGCAGATTCAAAAACATATTGTTAAAGTGGTTGCTGTGACCTGAGAATACAGATAGCATGTTATGAAACATTCCCATGTTAACTCGTATTTACCCAAAAGGAGCTTCTCCAAGCCATGCAGCTGTAATTCTCTTTCAGGATTCGACCAGTGGGAAACTTCACAATTTATTGATTACTATGGACACTTGTGACTGGGGGAGATATCTACTTAAAGGGTTTGTTGAAAGGGGAAGGTCATCATCAGTAGGCACCCGAAAGATAACAGAGATGGCCTCTGTCTAATATTCAAGGGGAGAGAATTTCAAAGGGTACGGACCTTCTGATAAGATGGTAACTGCAGGAGGCCCTCACCTGCAGAGCACAGTGATTGACTGGGTATATGAGGGGTGATGTTTCAGGTATTCTAGTCCCAAGCTGTATAGGGCTTTATCCACCAAAACCAGCACCTTGAACCTAGCCAGGTAGATAACTAACAGCCAGTTGTAATCCAATAACTGGCAACCTAGCAGTTTGAAAGCACGTCAAAGTGCAAGTAGATAAATCCGGCGGGAAGGTAAACGGCGTTTCCGTGCGCTGCTCTGGTTTGCCAGAAGTGGCTTAGTCATGCTGGCCACATGACCCGGAAGCTGTACGCCGGCTCCCTCGGCCAATAAAGCGAGATGAGCACCGCAACCCCAGAGTCGGCCATGACTGGACCTAATGGTCAGGGGTCCCTTTACCTTTACCTTTGTAGTCCAACAACATCTCGATGGCCGTCTGTTGGCTACCCTTGCATTGTTGTATCAGTTTTGTGATGTGCTAAATTTCACATGAGTTTTGAGCTCATGAGCCTGAGACCTGCAGCTACTTCTCATTTTTATTTAATTAACACCATTTGAATCAAATTGGCACAATTCGATTCTTAGTGGGATGTCGGGGGATGATCAGCGTCCGGGTTGCTTTTTCTCCTTAAAGGCTATATGATTCTCTGGCTTCTGTGGCATTTCATTTTTAGCATGGAAAGTGCTACTATTTTTCTGAAATATAAGTCTTCCATCAGTTGAGCATTCCAGCCTCCTGGCGTAACTGAAAGCTCTTTTACTGATGGCCCCTAATGCTGGAAAAACTGATGAGTCAGCCTTTCAGTGGCAGGAAATGCTTAGAAATGATGAAAGCAAATATGTTATGTTCTCTTTGCTTTCCAAGACTTGGAAGAATACATTTGCTGAATCACATCAGGAGTTGGCTAGCCCATTATCTTTTTCCTGATAAGCTCATGTCCATGTTTTGGGACTTTAGCTGAAATGGAGAACAGCATAAGGGTGCTAACAGCGCATTTCCATTTAATGCTGCTAGCTTTGGAAGCCTAAAGTTTAGGGATATCTTCTGCAAAAGTACTGTTTAGAGGGCAGAGTTGTATGTCTGAGAGCCTCAAACTCATAACTGTATGTATATTTTACATAATAACAACTACAGTGAAAAGTGTGCATTCTCATTAGGAATAGTAGGAATATAAGAAATGTAGCTTTTCTCTTTAGCCATTAAGGTTAGAATTGTTCAGGTTTGTTTGTTTTTTTTTTAAAAAATGAAGGCTGAAGATATCTGAATTCTAATAAAAATCCACTGATCTCAAACATTGACTTTAGTGACGGCTTTCAATCAAATGTTTCTCAGTCAATATTTAAGCAAGCATCTGCTTCTCCTGTGCACGCATATCCCTCACAGAACTAGATTTTCTCCAATATCTTACCTGTTAAGGAAATGCTTGGTTATAGTATGCTTTCTCTTATGCAGAACAAGGACTGTTCCACCTGTACAAAAGCTTTGGTGCTCTCCTCCCACATGCTGTCCATGTCCTTCAGTACCCCTGTAATCCAATAGACACGAGGAAGGAAGCAGATTGCCTTGCCACTAATGCTTGGAAAATTGGATCAATTGTGACTCCTGGAAGAAGCGGAAATGGCTTTTGTCTTTTCCCTCCTCCACATAAATGGAAAAACCTTGAATGGAATGGGGGAGGAAAACAGACATCTTAGCAAGGTCACAAAGATGGTAGGTTTAAAATTCTTAACAGGGTGCTCAGAGAAAATAGATAATGAGGATTCCTGAATCCTTTCTGCTGACTTTGCTGTTTTATGGGCAATGCTTAGCAAATGAGAAGTTGAGACATTTAACACATTTATAACCTCCCTTGAAATACCTTGGTACTACAGGCCATCACAATCTCTAAAATAATCCATGAGAGTGTTCCTTAAATATTTTCCAGAGGAATAGCTGTGTTAGAGATTCCCAGCGCCCTCCTGTGACCTTCCAAGGCCCAGATAGGCAAGGAGACTCCTTCCTTACCAGCCCTTGGGACACTCCCAGAGCCCTCGCACCTCTTTCCCAGAGGCTGGCAAGGAAGGTGCCATGCTTCCTGGGCTTTGGGGAGGCCATGCGAGGGCTCTGTGATGCTGTCAGAACCCTCCCACTACCTTCTTAAAGCCTGGTAAGTGAGGAAAGCCTGCTGGGTACATGGGTGGAGTGGGGGAATAAATAAAAGGGGAGCAGAGAATGGTGGGCTTCCCTGGCTCTCCATTTATTTATGCCCCCCACCCCCACTCATGTAAGGTTGTGGTCTTGTAAGTAAAGCTGTGGGCTTACTGTATTTAGAATGGTGGATAGGTGGATAGACAGTTGATGAGTCTAAACTCAAAAGCAGAGGTAACCAATGTGTTGCTTTTCAGATGTTGCTGACCATATCCAGTTGTCAGGGATTCTGTGAGGGGCAGCTGATTTGTGGCCCTCCAGAGGTTAGCCATCCCTGTGGCAATTCAGCAACATCTAGAGGACCACATTGACTGCCCTTGAAGTAGAGTGATACAAGCCAGTTTCCTAATCCCTGTTTCCTGTAGAACATACAGTGGCACCTTGGCTTACAAACTTAATCTGTTCTAGAAGTCCGTTCTTAAACCAAAACTGTTCTTAAACTGAGGCACACTTTCCCTAATGAGGCCTCCCGCCGCCGGTGCCCTTCCACCATTCGGATTCCATTCTTAGACCAAGGTAAAGTTCTTAAACCAAGACACTATTTCCAGTTTTGCAGAGTTTGTAAACCAAATTGTTCTTAAACCTGACTGTTCTTAAACCGAGGTACCACTGTACTTTTATTCCTATAGTCCACGAAAGCTTGTGCCATAATAAATTAGTAATTCTTTGAGATGTCTTTAGTTTTAAGATTCTACAAGGCTCTTAAGGTGCTTTTGCAGCAAAGAGTAACATGGTCGTCACCCCACCTGGAATATACTGTGATATACTGGAATATAGGACCAATATTTATACATACAGACATAAATTTCTATACAGCTAAATCAAGAAAATAAATCTCCTCAAAACGCTATGCATAAAAAGCTCTATAAAATCAAAAGTGAAAATATAAAAAGGCAAAGATCAGAAGAACATAAAACTGGGTTGCGTGGCAAGATAAGCTTGTGGAAATGAAAATGTTTTCGGCTGGTGTATAAAACGAAGCATGCAGGATGCTTGCCTAATATACAAAGGCCATAAATTCCATGATATATGTGCTGTTGTGCTAAACATCCGATTCTTTGTGGCCACTGGACAGATGTCATAGGAGGAAGTTAGCAATGCATCTCCATCAGATCTCCAAGAATGGATAGGAATGTATAGAGAAAGGCAGTCCTTTAAGTTGGTTGGTCCCAAGCTGTTTAGGGCTTTACAGAACAACAGCCCAGATTGTTCTCCCTTGGAGTCTATGCAGGATAAGATAAAAGGGAGACATAACTCCTGTTCTTCAGCTGTAGAGTAATAATCATCTTTTCAAGATTGAAGATCTGACATGGTGCCATGATTTCTTGCACTGCAATACAGAATTGATTACTGGGAAGAAATCCCCCTTGGTTTGCATATTTCCAGATTAAAGCTTGTGTACAGTGATATTTAAGATTAAATCAGCAAGTAGGAGATATGACAGATCTTGAACAGCTTATTATGAGAACTATGAAACACATGATGACAGAAATATATCATCTGCTTAATAGGTATGATACAGAGCCAGAACAAATGAAAGGTTACATGATAAAACGAGTTCAAAGTATTAGAGAAGACATACAATTAGATATCTGGGGAAAGTTTTTGCAAGAGCCACACAAGTTCTCCTTACATATGAGAATAAAGGGAAATGTTCCAAGATATATCACTCTGGACCAGATACAGAAGATTAATTAAAATTATTCAATCACACGCTGGAAATGCCGAAAAGGGAGAGGTGATCCCCCCATATGTGATGGGAATAGGATGTGTCAAAAGTAACTGGAAGAAAATTTAAAATAAAATTAAAAGAATCTTGGGTTACATAATTCTCCATTCAGTATTTTTTAATTGAATTATGTGAAAAGCTGTTCTGCTGTTTTCTTTTCTGTGTACAATTTTGAAGTATAGTGGGCCCCAAAGGCAAGAAGCCTTTAAGGAGAACGTTGTTCTTGATCATTGCTGTGCACCAACCCCCTTTCAGATGTGGGTCTGGACTCCTTTAGGGGATCTTCCTGGAACTGGGGATCAAAGGCTTCCACCTCCTCTATTAATCTTTCAGGTTAATCATAAGGCAACCCTCTATTTTGGCTTGCAGTACCTTTTGCTTCTGTATTGTACCTCTTGGGAGGCCACATGTCTTGGATTGTTCATTTTTCTCTCCTGTCTGTCTATCTACTCCAAATTTTGGCAGAAGGGAGAGCTCTACCTGCTCAGCCCCCCTGTTTTGTTGCTGTTACACTTAAGGAGGCTCAGGTATTTATGCCTTGTTCTAGGGAGACATAAGAATAGCATGCTGTATCATCAGGCCAATGGCATCCAGCAACCTGTTCTCACAGTGGCCATCCAGATGCCTGTGGGAAACCAGGGAGCAGAACAGCGCATAAGAGCATTTCCCCCTCCTGTGGTTTCCATTAACTGGTATTTGGAAGCACTGCTGCTTCCAACTTTGGAGATAGAGCATAGCCATCATGGCTAGTAGCCATTGATAGGTTTCTTCTCCCTATCCTCTTTTCCTTGTGTAATCACACAATCTACTTCTGGTACTCTGTACTACTTGCTTTGAAACAACTTTCTCAATGGCAGCTACTTGCGTTTTAACTTCTACTCTTCATTCTCAGAGAATGTGTTTTCATGGACTAGTTTCAATTTTCCATATTTTCCTGCTTGTCGTTGCCACATTCTGGAGAAAAGAGGAAAAGCTTCTGAAATATTTTACTTGGGATTTCTAATCTCAGTAAATCTGAGCAGCTTTGAAGCATCACTATGCCACTTTCCTGTTTGGGATGCCAGCACTCTTTGTAAATGTTCACATTCCAAGTGGTCCATGCAGTGATTGTAGAAGAGAGTGTGCGTGTGTGTTTATATATCCCTGAACAGCTGAAGAGATCAATGCAATGTGTTGCGGATCTATATTTTCTCTACTCTCTTTAGGATGCTGTTTAACTGGTCATAATCTAACACAAGTTGTGCACTACTAAGTCACATTAATGTCGATGGGACCTAGAAACCCTTAGTTTTATAGTCTAATTAATGAAGGAAAACCACAAAGTCCAAAGAAAGCCACCTTGTCCTAAATGATTCCTGCTATTTGCTCTCAGGTGCTATCAGTTACAGTAAATGCTAAATGTCATTTGCAGTTAGTAGAACTCAGATCATTTCTCAGCTTCTTTCTGTTAGCTAAAAATGTGAGGGAAGCCAGCCAAGGACATGTCAGAGGTGATAGAATAGTTCATTTTGAAATCTCGACAGTATTTGGTCCATCAAGAGCTATGGAATATGAATAAGAAGTTATTGTAGTACATTGTAGTTTGGCCCAGTCTTGGTATTTTTAGCAGCTGAGAGAGGCACCAATTTTAGTAGTAATACCAGCAATTTTATGTTTTGAACTGTCTACTCCAAATGGCATGTGGACATGGGGAAGAAAGACTGTCAGATAATACCACCTAGGAAACAGATGACAGACTACCTATAGCAGGTGCAGTATTACAGGGCATATGGACATCTTCAAGGGTGTGCTCCAACCTGCGTGGAAATTGCAGCTGATTTCAGTTTGGTCTTTAATAGAGTTGGTGCTAATTTTGCATGTTATCTACATGTGTGCATTTCCTCAGCCTTTAAGGTGAACTTTTGGTGTGTTAACCTTTCTCTTTCCCCAGTAATGGTGAATTTAAAAAACTCTCCTGTTTCAGCTTGATTTTGATGGTGTCTCATTACTGACAAAAAAAATTAATAATGTGTGATCCATTTGCGATATGTTCTCTTGATACTGATAGTTCTGTCCTAACATGTTAAAATACTGATGGAAACAGAGGAGCAGGCTGAACTAGGCTGATGAAATAAAGTGTGTGACGTGCCTAGAATAGAATACTCCAAAATAATACATAGTAATAATGCATAATATCCACCATCATTGCCTTTCATATGCGTAGGCAGATCCTATCATGTCCTTATGCTCTCCCTTGCCTAGTTCATGGCTTTTGTTTTCATCTTGCTTGTTTATTGCTTGATTGTGCATTTCCGGTGTTGTGTGAGCATCTCATAAAGCATCTCTTGTGAAAGCATTTCTTTCATTTTAATAAGTCTGTTCAGAAGCATGATAAACAAATCCTGCCCACACACTTAGACCAGAAACCTAGTGAAGCTCTGATACAGGAGAGGGTAGATCATATGCACAAGAATTGGAAAAAGCAGACCAGCCCCACCCCCACCCCTATTCTGAAGTTACACAAGATGCAGAAGCAGGAATATATTGCCAATAGTTTTCTCATTAATATCTGTCTCACCCCCAAATACTTGAGAAGGAAACAGATTTTGCAGCTAGCCCCAAAGGCATGCAGAATATTATTTACAAAAATGTATCATAACTCCTCTGTTACGAAAGCTGAAGAATTTCGACTCATTCTGTTTCCCTGGAAAACAAAATTGTGAATCTAAGATGGGGTCCAAGAACATTTACATGTTGCCTAGAGTTTAGAGGGAAATAAATGGGTTTTGAAAATGGTGCTTTATATACATCTAATATGTTTTGTACAGCTTTCTTAACTACTGTGTCAGCACAGTGCCCGTGTATTTTTCTAACCTACTGAATTCTTCTCATTGATGGCTTTTCCTTACTCCTGTGTTTTCCCTTTGCAGTTTGTTGGCAACTCCCCTGCTGAACTTGTATTTCTACTTTAGTATTGTCTCACCCATCTCCAGCCTCTGAAATGGCTCTCTGTCATTAGCACATAAGAGCCCTGCTAGATTAGACTGAAAAACTTACCGTATTTTTTGCTCTATAAGACTCACCTTTTCCCTCCTAAAAAGTAAGGGGAAATGTGTGTGCATCTTATGGAGCGAATGCAGGCTGCGCAGCTATCACAGAAGCCAGAACAGCAAGAGGGATTGCTGCTTTCACTGCGCAGCGATCCCTCTTGCTGATCTGGCTTCTGAGATTCAGAATTTTTTTTTCTTGTTTTCCTCCTCCAAAAACTAGGTGTGTCTTGTGGTCTGGTGCGTCTTATAGAGCAAAAAATACGGTAATTGGTTTGCCATGTTGCTTCTCCTAGTATGATCTGGGAGGAAGCCAGCAAACAGCACTTAAGAGCAATAGTCATCCCCTGCTGCTTTCCCCCCAGCAACTGGTATTCAGAAACATCCCCCAACTAGGTGCCCTCCAGATGTTTTAGACTACAACTCCCATCATCTCTGAGCATTGACCATACTAGATGGAACTAAGGGAAATTGTAGTCCAAAACATTTGGAGGGCACTAGGTTGCAGAAGGCTGAGGTAGCACATAGCCATCTTGACTAGTAGCTATTGTTTGTCTTTTTCTCCATGAATTTGTCCAGCCCCCTTTTGAAGCTGTCTTGAGTTGTTGACCATTGCTGCATTTTATGGATATGAATTCCATAACTTTAACCACACAGTGTGTGAAGAAGTACTTGATTTTGTCTGTTCTGAAGCTCCCACCATTCAGATTCACTGGGTAACCCCAGGTTCTAATATTATGAGAGAGGGAGAAAAACGCACATGTTCTTCACACTATGTGTCATTTTATGACACTGGATCATGTCCCTGCTTACTTGCATCTTTCATAAATTAAAAAAGGTAAAGGACCCCTGACAGTTAAGTCCAGTCGCGAATGACTCTGGGGTTGCGGCGCTCATCTTACTTTACTGGCTGAGAGAGCCAACATTTGTCCGCAGACAATTTTTCCGGGTCATGTGGCCAGCATGACTAAGCCGCTTCTGGCAAAACCAGAGCAGTGCACGGAAACGCCATTTACTGTCCCACCGGAGCAGTACCTATTTATCTACTTGCACTTTGACGTGCTTTCAGACTGCTAGGTTGGCAGGAGCTGGGACCGAGCAATGGGAGCTCACCCCATCGCGGGTATTCGAACCGCCAACCCTTCCGATCGGCAAGCCCTAGGCTCAGTGGTTTATACCATAGTGCCACCCGCATCCCCTTCCTAAATTAAGAAGCTCCCAAACACTGTTGTTCCAGCTTCCTGATAATTTTGGTTTCCCTTTCCTGCACCTTTTCCAGTTCCATGATTTCCTTTATAAGATGTAGTGACTCAGTGATGAACAGTATTCCAAGTGTGATAGCACCATAGAGCTTTGTATAAAAGCATGACGATATCGGCAGTTTTATTTTCAGGTCCTGTCCTAATGTTTTCCAGCGTGGAATTCTCTATTTTCACAGCTTCTGCTCATTGGGTTGATGTGTCCATTTCCATGCTGCTCCTTCAGCTTGGAAGTAGATTAGTCTCCCTGCCCCCCCCCCGGCCATTTGTTACGTAACTTCCTATTTTCCTTTCAAGGACCCCATCTCACTTTCATGGGAGGGGGATGCTTTGTGGTGGCTCCTGTGCCACAAAGCTCATGTCAGAAACTCTGGGCCACAACAGAGGGACCTTCTCCATAGAGCGGAGTCCTGTTACTTGATCAGGAATCACAAATCTTGGTTCAACTCAATGGTCAGCCCTTCTCCTTCCTACAAAGCCCTCTGTGTGTGCCATAGGAACTGAGACCGAAGAATGAGTTTTCCATTCTTTAATGCTGAATTTAGTTCACTGCTGCACAGTGGGAAGCAGCCCCAGAATCAAACCTCAGCTGCAGGGGAACAGTTAACCAGACAGAGCTTTTCAAAGCAACCTCCAGGCTGCACCTGCTTATTCCCTCATCTTTCAAGACCTCCTGGTCTCTCAGGAACATGAGAGGGCATCCCTCACCACCTTATTTGCTTTCCACATGCCAAAGCCTTTTGCAACCATCATCAGATATCACTGCAGCCTGCAGCTTTGCTTGTTGTTGCAAGCATGATGCTTTCTGCCCTGGTGCTCAGTAACAACTGTGCTGAACCTTCCCTCCCTCCCACTAGAGGGCTCCATAGCAGGTCTCCCCCACCCACCCTCACACATACCAGTCAGCCAGATGGTTGGTTTCCTCTCCATACTCTCATCATACTGGGCTTCCTCCTGCCGAAGCTCAGTACAGTACAACGCACATATCCCTTCCCCTGACATTTTTTCTCAAGCCCTTTGGCACATGCAGAGCGCAATCTCTTATGCTGAGCTCTGCAGCCTACAGAAATCCAACACTTAGTGCAGTGTAAGAGACTTCTCCTGAGTTGGGGGAAATTGTCTGTGAGCTCCTTACCAGAGGGTCAGGACATCTGTCTCTGGCAAGAATATTTATAGAGGCCTGATTTTCAATCTTTCATGTCACAGTGACAATTAAGGTTCTCATACTGGCAACTGAAGGCAGGAACTGCTTGGTCAGTTTTATATGTCCCTACCACTCGGAGTATGTAAGTTGCTTTACCTTGATGCTTGCATTTATGTAAGTAGGGTGCTGGTCTGGTTGCAATTTATTATTGTATTCTCATTTATCAAAGTTTGAATCAATCATTCTGGTAACAGTTTCAGCTGTTAAAATGGGGTTGCATCCAATATTGAATCTACTCAAAGTAAACTCATTGAAATTAATGGGCACAACTAAGTGGCTTACTAGCATTATATGTGAAAAGGATCTATGGGTCTTAGCAGACCACAAGCTTAACATGAGTCTACAGAGTGATGCAGCAGCAAAAAAAAGCTAATGCTATTCTAGGCTGCCTCAACAGAAGTGCCCAGATCAAGGGAAGTAATAATATTGCTCTATTCTGTCTGGGTCAGACTACACCTGGAATACTGTGTCTAATTCTGGACACCACAATTTAAGAAGGATGTTGACAAGCTGGAATGTGTGTAGAGGAGGGCACCCAAGATGATCAAGGGTCTGGAAAGGTTGAGGTAGTTGGGTATGTTTAGCCTGGAAAAGGGGCGACTGAGAAAATATATGATAGCCATCTTCAAATATCTCAAGGGCTGTCACATGGAAGAGCAAACAAGCTGGTTTTCTGCTGCTCTGGAGGGTAGGACTTGAACAAATGGCTTCAAGTTACAAGAAAGGAGATTCTGACTAACCATCAGGGATACCGATGTTAAGAGCTGTACAATAGTGGAATGGGCTCCCTTGGGAGGTTGTTGACTCTGCTTCCTTTGAGGTTTTTAAGCAGAGGTAGGATGGCCATCTGACATAGATGCTTTAGCTAAGATTCCTGTATTGGGGGGGGGGGGTTGGACTAGATCATGGGTAGGCAAACTAAGGCCCGGGGGCCGGATCCGGCCCAATAGCCTTCTAAATCCGGCCCGCGGATGGTCTTGGAATCAGCGTGTTTTTACATGAGTAGAATGTGTGCTTTTATTTAAAATGCATCTCTGGATTATTTGTGGGGCATAGGAATTCATTCATTTCCCCCCCCCAAAAAAAATATAGTCTGGCCCCCCCACAAGTTCTGAGGGACAATGGACCGGCCCCCTGCTGAAAAAGTTTGCTGACCCCTGGACTAGATGACCCTTGGGGTCTCTTCCAACTCTACAATTCTATGATTATAAGTTAGGCCAGTTAATTTCAATGGGTCTACTCTGGGAGCCCAGTTGCTGGCTCGAGATAGCAAAATTGCTTTTTGTATTTTAAGGAGATTAACCCTATTAGAGGTCGAAGGAAGTGTCCACACAATATAGTAAGTGGAAAGGCTTTCCCATTTATGCACAGAGGTGATAAACAGCTTTAGGATGTTATGAGAGCATACATCTTAATGTTGCTGTTGCCTGTCAGGAAACACCTTGAATTTAGTTTTAATCTCCCTCTTCCTGTGAACTAAAGACAGTGTTTATTAAAGGTGTTGTTGTCACCATCATCCTGGGAGGCAGAGCCCTCTTTCCCAAAAGTACAGGGCACGCGGTTTAGGGGCAAGGGTAGTTGGAATGCTTCATTACTAACCTTGCTAAATCCCTTCTTAGCCCTTTTGATTTCTTTGCAGATTAAGATGATTGCTTTACTACAAAGGATGTCTCCACAACAGGAACAGAGCATGAGCTCCTTTACCATTAGCACACAGCAAAAATTATGAGGTCCAAATATCCCCTCATTAAAAATCATATGGGAACCTGGGAGCAAAAGCATTTTAACTTTCATCCAGGCCTACTTTATTCATAATTGTTGACTTTTAAGCATCCTGGTTTGGGTGGGAACTTGAATAATGTGAACTCTCTTCTTTTTCTTTATTACCTCGTAGTTGACTTCCTGCCTGAAGATGTGATCCTTTAATCCTGAAAGCTTGCATGTCTGTCCTGACCTGCTTTATGTCGTGTGATTAGTTAATGAATTTCACTACTAGAATTATTCCTCCCTCCCATATGCATCAGCATTGCTAATGATTATTTTTTAAGGTTGTGGCCCTAAGCACAGGAAGTCCATCTGAACTCAGTGAGATTCGCTTGCAGGTAAATGTGTTTAGATCTGGACTATTACTTGCAGTTTCTTTTGAAATGTTATAATTGATTACTCATCTATGTAGGAGTGTATTAACCATCATCAGAAGTTTTTTTAGAAGGGGAAAATGTGCACAAAGTATCTGACATCTGTAGATATCTTCCCAATCCATGTTGATGTGTTTCCCTAAATCTCTATCCTGCCCCAGAATGTTCCCACATCTGCAGGGAGAAGGTACAAGGCAAATGAGATCTTTCACATACAGTAACTGTGCATGTTGTTCTGCTCTCCCATTTGAGAAGAGTCCTGAGAACAGAATGATTGAAATATCATATATCTGATACCTGAGCTTCTCAGCAGATGATCCTATTTTCAAGGTCAAAAGATTTATAATGTTCAAAGCAAGCAGAAATACTAAACAGGATCCCCTATTGGGAATTGCAGCGCTTTGAGAATAAATCGACAGGCTCTTCTTCTTTCCTTAAATTTTTGTGCAGCTGAAGTCACCAAATCTCAGTTCACAATCAAGCCCTCCTAGAGTAAGCAAAATATAATGCAGCTTAGTTATTGATGGGAACATGTCAAAAAGCATGTTGGTGGTGCTAAAGTTCCTCCACTGGTTCAGCTTATCCCAAGTATTCTTTGTTCTTCAGTGGCACACAGTTTGTTTTTGTCAGCAAGTGTGTATTGGTTGTTCCATCAAAGGAATTGCAGCTTTGCAGAGGTAGCTTGGAGTTTAAAGTGCACAACAGAAAAATCAGCATGTGTATCAAAATAGGTGGTATTTAAAGCTTTGTTTGTGGGAACAGTGGGAAGATGAAAGGTCAAGACCCAAACTTCATTAATCTTGTAGACCCACACTAGCTACTTGTGACAGTGCAGAACAGATAGCAGGATGAAGGAGTGTCTCTTGATCTCCTTATTAGGTCAAATGCATGTGTACAAAGACAGCAGCAGCACACTCCTGGCTGGTTTGGAGTCAATGCTAGCTACTCCTTGTAGGTAGTACATTGTGGTTTCTAGGCAACCCCTGGTTTCATTCTTGGATGTTTTGGAGTGGGGTGAGTTGTTACAGGGATGCTTAGCATGCTACTTTGACACTTTGCCATTGAAGGAAATGCCCTCAAAATTTCCTTTCTGGAAAAGGGAGGTAAGCACGAGGGAGGAGTGGGATTTTGATATATGTGTGAGGTAGAGGTAATGTTAATTGAGTTGTTAATGTGCATTAACCAGCCACTGTGCACATTCACCAGGCCACATGAAGAATGTGCATGTAATCTATCGATGAAGAGGGGATTTCACATATTTCCTGGCTAATATACATAATATTCAACAGGCGTTGGGGAATAGTCATATATCAATTGGATTTTGAACATTCTCCAATCACTGCGCATAACCTCCAGCAGGACTTAGGGAATGTATATATCTCAACTGCGTATTGTAAACTCTCTGGCCAGTGTGCATAACCCCCAGTAAGCTTTGGAGCATGTTCTTGTTTTCTATCTCCGGTTCAAAAATGTGAAATCTGCAGCCTCTGGGCTGCTTCTGGCTACCACTTTATCTTATGTAGTTTCCAACATATCCATGGGCTGAGCATCTGAGCAGCATGAAAAGGGGTGGGGCTCCACATAAAAATCAACTTTTTCTCACTTTGTGGGCAAATTACGTGCACATTCTGTATGAGCCTGATGAATGTGCACTATGGCCGGTTGTTATGCACATTAACTGCTCAATTTACATCACCCCTAACGTATGTTATTACATCAATTAGTTTCTAACCCAGCCTTTATCTAATGATCCCAAGACAGCTTACAAACTGAAATCTCTATATTAAAACAAGATTCACACTGCAGATTTTTAATAGTATTAAAAAATATCATACAAAACAAAATTCAGCTTAGTTCAGACTACATGCTAAACCAGACCTTGGCTTAGTTCACAGCAGTGCTGCAGTGTAGGAAGAGCAAAGCAGCCACAATCCTCTCTTGGGAAGCCGCACATTCATGCTAAGCCATGGTTTAACTTAGCATTACGTGCAAACTGGGCAGGCAAACAATCCACAATATTGCTAACCTTAATGCATCAGTCATCACCAAATGCCTTGGTAAAGAGGTAAATTGTTGGTTTGCATTGAAAAGTTAATGTTGACACCAACCACATATCTGAGGAGTGGGAGTTCTGTAGATTGAGTACCACCACAGAGAAGCCCCTGTCTTGTGTCACTATTGCTCACTGGGCAGGAAAGTAAGCAGAGCCTTCACTGTCAATATTGGTGTATAGGTTGGCTGATAGACAGGTGGGCTCTTTTAAATATTTGGATCCCAGTTCATTTACAATCTGAACTGCATTTGCTAGACACAATATTTGGATCCCAGTTCATTAACAAACTGAATTGCATTTGGTAGACATAAGGAACCAGTGAAGCTGCTGTAAAATAATGTATAAATATAGGTAGGGGTGGGTGGATGTGTTTCTGTGTCTCCCCTGCTGGAAGGCAGGCAGATACTGCTGGGCAGCTCAAACTGCATTACTGAAATCCATCATTAATCTGCTCTAGTTCAGATTTGGTATACCTGGAGAATTTAGATTAAGGCATACTGTCCTACTTCAGCCCGAAGACGCAGCGCTTGCAGAGGCCTTGTGGCAAAGAGTGCAGAGAATACAAGCCACTTACATGCTGCTGCTGTTCTTAAGTAATGTGCAGCCAAACAAGACCGCCCGAAGCTCTCTCGTTGGAGGTGGCCATTAAATCCAATAACTTCTGTTGTTGTCGCTAGATACTGCAGAAACAGCCAAATCCTGTGATGACAGAAACAGCAATTTCCTCCCAGCTGCACTTTGACAGGGTAGATATCTTAGGAAATATTTTGTACATTGGTACAGATATCATAGCATTGTTATAAAGGGTGTGTTTGTGTGTGTTTCAAATGTGACTTTCTCGTCATAAGAGGGCAATCCTAGGGCAACTTCTCACAAAATATACCCCCCCAGAAATAATCTGCTGCATTTTAGAGGTGCAAGAGGCTTTGGAAAGGTAATAGACCACCTGTTCAGACTCCGCACCCCCCAAATTCTCATGGGGACGGGGGAATCTGGTAGGGGGCAGGAGAGGGGCCAGCAGCATTAATGGGCACCATCCCACTCTGCTCTCTGTGCTTTCAGACAAATGCCTGAACAGGCCTGTTGCCACCTTCCCTGCAATCCTGGACATTCCTTCAGAAAGGGGAAGAGGATTGCTGTTCTCTGTTGTGCCCCTGTTGCAAGCAGGTTTCTCCCTACAACAGTGTTAATCCCTCAGTGCTGAACCTTCTTCCCCCCCATAGGGATGAATGGCATCCATTCAAGTATAGGACATAGTAAAGCAGTATTCTCAGGGACACCATTATGGGGGAGGTGAAGCCCATTTCCTCTCTCTGGTGACTCCGGCCACTGAGAAGCAGTTCTATTCCTGCATAACTCTTGTTTCTTGATCACATGGGAATGTGACAGTGAGGGGAAAGGGGAAAGGGGATAGCTAGACAAAAAGTTAGATGCTCAGAGGAAGCTTTTGAACAATGCTGAATCTGCAGGTTCTATTTATCTGCATACTCATTGGTCAGGAAACCCTATTTCTAACGCTCCAAGCATTGACAGCTACCATGAATGTTTCAGTCCATGGAAATTAGCCACAAATATGAAAAAAAATATATAGGTAGGTCCCAGAGAGCCAGCGTGGTGTAGCGGTTAAGAGCAGTAGACTCGTAATCTGGTGAACCAGGTTTGCATTTCCACTCCTCCACATGCAGCTGTTGGGTGACCTTGGGCCAGACTTCTATGAAGTCTCTTAGTCCCGCTCACCTCACAGAGTGTTTGTTGTGGGGGAGGAAGGGAAAGGAGATTGTTAGCCACTTTGAGACTCCTTAGGGTAGTGATAAAATGGGATATCAAATCCAAACTCTTCTTCTTCTAAGTATCAAAGGAGATGAATTTTATTTCAAGAGCTTGTTTACATGATCCAGCAATACCAAGATAGGTAGCTCACAGTGGTTACCTTCTTAATGTGACTGATCTGTGGTTTTGCTTGCACTGATTAGTTCTGAAAGTATTGGTTGTTTTCCTTGTCTCTTCACACTGGGTTCCCATTCAGTGTCTTAGGCTGAAGCAGTGGCATCTATCTGCAGGATTATGATGCCAATACAGTTTGTATCAGTCATTCTGAGGTTTTCCTTCATACATCTTAATTCTATTAGATGCCTGGTAATTGTACATCCTTCTTCCTTGTATAAACCTAAATGGGTTGCAACACAGATTATATAAGAAAACCTTAAATGGAGGCCCGTATCATGCAAAAAAAAATGTTGTTGTTAGGCTCTGTACATGGTGCGTAGTTTTGGATTTATTTATTTTTACCCATGGCAAACTGATGAGTCTCACGTACTGTTCCGAGGTGCATTTTCTGCTTTTCAATTTTACAAAAAAATATGCAGCATATTATCGGTAATGAATTCAGTATAACAAGGTGATTTAAATTAAATCAAGCAATTCCTGGTGAATCTCAAGAGTTTTCTGTGTGCTTGGCTTCTTTCCTCTAGGCAGCTGCCACTGCCACTTCGCAACAGGCAATGCTTGTCACTTGAAAAAATAATAATAATCTGGGCTTGTGGCCAGAAGATGAGAGAGGCAATAGTTGAAAGGAGTCAATGTTTCAAAATGACAAAGCCCTGTATTTTGGTAATGCTCTCTGTGGAGCAGCTTCCCTCTGAAGAAAGGTTGCCACGTTTGAGACCTTTTAGTTTAGAGAAAAGGTGGGTAAGAGGTGACATGATAGAGGTTTCTAAAATGATGCATGGAGAAAGTGGATAGCGAAAGATTGCAGTCATACCTTGGGTTGAATGTGCTTCGGGATGAGCGCGTTCGAGTTGTGCTCCGCGGCAACCCGGAAGTAATGGAGTGCGTTACTTCCGGGTTTCGTCGCTTGTGCATGCGCAGACGCTCAAAATGACGTCACGCGCAGAAGCACCGAAACATGACCCGTGCACGCGCAGACACGGGTTACGTTTGCTTCTAGATGCAAATGGGGCTCCGGAATGGATCCCGTTCGCATCTAGAGGTACCACTGTATATCCCTTTCTCATAACACTAGAACTTGTGGACATCCAATAAAGATGAGTATTAGAAGATTCAGGATGGAAAAGAAAGTACAGTGGTACCTTGGGTTACATACGCTTCAGGTTACATACGCTTCAGGTTGCAGACTCCGCTAACCCAGAAATAGTGCTTCAGGTTAAGAACTTTGCTTCAGGATGAGAACAGAAATTGTGCTCCGGCGGCGCAGCGGCAGCAGGAGGCCCCATTAGCTAAAGTGGCGCTTCAGGTTAAGAACAGTTTCAGGTTAAGTCGGACCTCCGGAACAAATTAAGTACCTGAGGTACCACTGTACCTCTGAATGCCAGTTGCTGGGAACCACAGGAGGCGAGATGGCTCTTGTGCTCAAATCCTGCTTGCTGGTTTCCCACAGGCAACTGTTCAGCCACTGTGAGAACAGGATGGTGGACTAGAAGGGCCACTGGTCTGATCCAGCAGGTTCTTAAAGGAGAAAACAATTGTTTCATAGCGATGTAAACAACAAGCTGGATACCATTTTCACAAATGTAAGAGACATTGAGAATCTTGTGCCAGTAATCACTGTTATCATCAAAGTGTCATTGTTCATATTGTATAGAGGAGAAAGAATTGTCAGGAGGAACCCGTGGAGGAAGTAGGTCAATAACACTTTTCCTCATAGGAATTGGATTTCCTAAGCTTGTACCCAAAGTTATCCTAGAGCTTTCTGAGGAGCAGAAGGAAAGATCTCAGTTGAGCAAAAGCCATTTATTTGACAAGTTTACATCAGAATGACCCCCCCTTCCATTGGATCCTTTAACTATTTAATCAAACAGAAATAAATCTTAATGAATAGAACAACTTAAAATATTTTAAAATTGACATAAAACTTAAAAATCCATTTCATATATTATTACAAGGTAATAACTGCTGAGAAGCCATATTTTCAGCCCGTTTTCAGTGGGAATGGGGGAAAGCTAGGCACAGGAAAGTTGTTGACATCAGGTTGGTAGAGTATGCTGGGTAGGTGTCTTGTTTTGATCTGAAGAAGGAGCCTGTAGTGAGCAACCTGCTCTGAGAAGGTCTGGAACTCTCTACCCTCTACCAGGCTATCCCGGCTTTGGGAGAATCAGAGAACAACCAGCTCTCTCCCCTGAATACAGGCACTTCTCTTGCATTCTGTGGTGTGCTGCCTGGTGCCTCCCTTTGCTGTTGGACTAGCAACAGACTATAGGAGGCACTTGGTTCCTTAGGCTGCAGAGAATGTGCCTGTGAGGACCATGGCTCCAACCCGGATGCTCTTGTGTTTGGTTTGGTGAGCTCCTGCTTGCCAGCTTCAAGTTCAGTACCTCACTCCTCCAATTACATGGCTCCTAAGTCCATGTCAGTATAGCTTCCAGCTCTGTGTCCTTTTCCCTGCTGAACTCAGGGCAATGACAGTGGGATGGTCAGGTGAGACAAGATGGGTGACAAGATTGTGAGAAGGCAACTGGAGAAATTGAGTGTCGCGGTTTGGCAGGAATCTACACAAAGGGCTGAATTGCAGAAGTGGAGGTCTGAGTAGGTCACAGAACAATTCTGGGAAAAGCAGGTTCATCAAGGTAACAAAGAGAAGACCTTCTTACTTAGTACCACAGAGAACATTGGCAACCTGCTGCTCTCTGCTTTTGGTTGGAGGAGTGCAGCTGAGGAACATCTCCCAGTTGTCATCAGTCTTGGTGCTAGTTCTTCTAGGCTTGCAACACAATAACTAAGCATGCAGAGCTCCTGGTTTGTGTGGCTATTACCTTCTCTCTGTCCACTTTACCGTGATGCAAAGGCAGCAAACAGATGATGTTGTCACCTCCCCTTGTGAGAGACCAAGGCCCCCTGGCACTGCATGCGTCTGACCAAGGAATTATGCAGGTTCCTGTTTTCTTTTCAGGCATTCATTTGTTTTATTTAACCGTATTTTTACCCTGCACCCCCAGCATACAAGTGCTCCCTGGTGGGGCTAAGAAAAAGAATAAAAAACCAATACAAAATAAAAACAATACAATTACGAGAAGGGAACTGCAGGTAAAAACATGAAAAATGGAAACCTCCAAGGGAAAGCAAATAAAACAGGTGCAGTTAAAGGTTTAAAGGTTTAAAAGCCTGAGGAGAGTATGGGAACCAAGCAAACCTCCCCAGGAAGATCACAGACAAGAAGACTTGCAGAAAGCAGGGCATGCGCTGTGCCTATCACACCCTCTATTGTGGTGTGTGCATTTCTTGTGTGGGTGCTATGTACATGTGTGGTTTGTATGCTCTATGTCAGGCGTGGGAAATTTTGTAAGTCTAATAGCTGCATTCCTTTTTAAATTTTGTATTCTTTTTGTTGTTGTCATGTTTGTACTTGTTGCTAACAAATCAATAAAATTAAATACAAAATTTTAAAAAAAAAGAGTGCCATGGGTGCCTATCAAAAAATGGCTGCCATGGGAAGAATCACATAAAAGATTAGGGAGTACAGTCATTGCTGCTCCCCCCTCCCCCTCACCACCTCATGGCTACCATGGGAAGTCAGGTGCATCCAGCTGGTTCTGATTGTGAAGATTATGCACACAAACACCCACCTACCCATGATAGGATGCTGTCGCCGTCTAATAACAACAAGGAGCGTTACCCAGTACTAGGAAAAACATGTTAGATGGCCACACCACATACTGCATTACTCTCAAATAACAAAAACAGTATGTTTTACAGTAAGTTAAGTAAATACATTACTTCAGTAGATGAATGTGCCTTATTTATGTCAAGAATCGATAAGAGGCATTCATAGCAAAATAAGCTCAAGCCAAGAACTGAATAGGTGACTTGTGTATGTCTTCTTCCTTCCTTTCTTTACCTGGGCATTACCTCTGTGTAGGAAAAGAAGCTGTTATGATCCTCCCTAGGATTCTGCTTCAGCAGTTGTGTCTAAACTTTAGGGGTATAAGAATTCCAGGAGTGGTATTCAACTCAGTTTTATTCAGAGTCCATTAATTTCAATAGGCCTACTCTTGAGTAAACCTCCCAAGTGGAGAATAAACATGAACAGGAGTATTGGATGTAGGAGTCTGTGCCATGAGAACTTTAACTTTCATTTTTTTTAAAAATGCAACATCTCTGCAACTACAGAGGGTGTGAGATAATGCATCGTGAAATTTCAGAACACAGAGGGATGGCAGAGTAAGACATCTAGTATTTCAAAGGGGTCGAATTTCATGTGCTTCATATCTTTGCTCCACCCCATGACTAGTTATAAACATTTCCAGATGTTGGTTTAATGTGCATACATGTTGCAGAACCCTGCTTTTCTCGGCACAGAGTTTGGATTTCTCTGGTCAGATCATGAGGCATGAGAAGCCAAACAGTCACATTAGGAAAAAAAGCCGGTGCTGCTTGGAGTATTTTCCAGTGTGATCTTTGGGGATAGATACTTAGATATAAATCTATTGTGAGGGTTGAAGCAAATCTCTGCCCTAATGGGGAGTGTTAGTGGATGCTTCAAAATAAAGTTGTTTCAGCTTATAGCAGGGACTGAAGCATAAGAACACAGTCAGTGACCCTTGGAATGCATGGGGTTGGTTTAACATTCAGGAAGCATATTCATACAGTCACTGTGTATTTAACAATCCTTGGTTGCTGGAAGGCCCCCAAGTGCTTTTTGCAATAGCCCATTTCTGTGCTGGCTGGAGTGGAGAGAAAGAGAAGCAAACCATCCTTACTTTGTCTGGAGAGCTGAAACATCTAACTCCATTCAAACTAGGTGTTGCTGCTGTCAGGAAGTAGTCCTCTCTCTGTCCCCATTCTTCCTTGCTAGTGCTTACATTTCAGAGTCTGAGTGCGCTACTGAGAAAGGGTTATTTTGTGCCTACCTGAGTGGGGAAGAAGAGATTAAAACCTTTGCTTTTCCTGCCCATTGTTAAAGCTCTGCTCCACATCCCCGCACTAATCTACTTTTGCAGGCAAGCCTGTTGGCCTCTATGCAATAGGCACCTGACTACAGAGAGGTGTCAGCAGAATTCAGCCCTTCCAGGATGAGTTAGGGTGGCTGAGAGTCCCCAAGGTGGTCTCTCTGGTTAACATTTATTGTTGTTCTTAAAATTTCTATGCCTGCCCATCCGAAGATCACAGGGTGGTTTCCAATATAAAAACAGAAAACAAAAATAATACCCCCATACACAGTTAAAAAGACCATAGATTGTTTAATTAGCCAAAGGCCTAGGCTAATTCCTTTTTAATTAATTGATTAAATTTGCCCAAGGCCTAGGCTAATTTTTGCCTGGTGCCTAAAGATCTGCAACCAAGACACCAGGCAAGCCTCCCTAGAGAGAGCATTCTGCAAGCAGGGAGCCACTGCAGAAAAGGCCTGTTCTCATGTTGCCACCCTCCAGATCTCTCATGGAAGGCACACAAAAACAGGTCTCAGATGATGATTGTAGGGTCCAGGTTGGTTCATATGGGGAGAGGCAGTCCTTGAGGTATTGTGGTCCTGAGCTGTTTAAGGCTTTATAGGTCAAAACCAGCACTTTGAATTGGGCCTAGAAACTAATTGATATTTGGGTCAGGATTGATATCATAGAGCTTTAAGGTTTCTCTAGTCCAACAGGGTAGGCGCTATTTTGTGAAATTGCTTTTTCCCAGGCACAGAGCAACTTCACAGTCAGGTCCCTGTGTTTGTTCTGGGAACAAATATGTGGCTGCCCCTCTAGCAGTTGTCCAGCTCAGTGAGATATTTGCTCAGTTCCATGTCCATCAGAATTCTAAGTATGGTGGTCCAGGAAGACAAATGTGACCATTATTCCTGTTTCTTTTCCCTTTACAGCTCTTGTATGATAGCCCAAAAGCACGACAGGAAGTGGATCATCATTGGCGGGCTTCGGGCTGTCCACACATCGTCCACATCCTGGATGTTTATGAGAACATACATCATGGGAAGAGGTGCATCCTGATCATCATGGAATGGTATGAAGATAGAGCTAAATAGTTAGCTATACAAAATACATTCTGGAGATTTACATCAATACAAATGACAAAATTGACAAAATTTAGCCACAGATAAACATGTGAGCCAATAGGCTTTCTTTTTGGGGTTTTTTTTAAGCTGAGGAATGCTAGAAAATTAATCAAATACAGTGGTGCCTCGCAAGACGAAATTAATTCGTTCCGCGAGTTTTTTCGTCTTGCGGTTTTTTTCGTCTTGCAAAGCACGGTGTCAGAAAAGTTTTGGAAAAGCTTCAAAAATCACCAAAGTCTTCAAAAACCTCAAAAAAGGCTACCACACCGCGTGCTATGAGTTGCTCCTCGAAGTCAAGTCGCAACTGTATTAACGGTTTTAAGAAAAAGGAAACAAACTTGCAAGACGTTTCCGTCTTGCGAAGCAAGCCCATAGGGAAAATTGTCTTGCGAAGCAACTCAAAAAACCAAAAACCCTTTCGTTTTGCGAGTTTTCCGTCTTGCGAGGCAGTCGTCTTGCGAGGTACCACTGTAATAGATCTTATTCTAATTGCCGCTGCTAAAATTTTTGCAGTTTTTGCTGTCACCTAGTTATCTTGATCTGCCAGAAGAAAAGACAGGGTAGCAATGGTTGAGCGACCTGGTATGGATAGTAGTAGAGGGGTAATAACCTCACTCCTCAAAACTAGCAGTACATAAGCTACTGATTCAATACTGCCATCTCCACATGGACATAAATGGTTCTCCAGTGGAATGTGGCTTTACAGAGTTTTCTGGAATTATGGGGGATGGGGGGCCCAAAATCTTTTTAAAAAACAACAACACAGAACCTTGGGGAAGGCAAGAATGTGCACTATTCTTCATTTGTCTTTTCTTTCATTATTCTCTGTGAGTGACTATTGTTCCACACACAGAATGCTAGTCCAGTCCAAACCATTCACTGCATTGACTTTGATCCGTGACGGCACATGTTCGCGTGAGAGCAGAGTCCATTCTGGCCCTGAAGAAACAATAGCAGCACCTTGTGGCGATCCACTCCCTTTCAGAAGTTTGCATTTAGCTCAACCTTGCCTAACGTAGTAGGAAGCAGATATAAGAACATCCCTGTAGGATCAGACCAAAGGCCTGTCTAGTTCAGCATCTGGTTTCCTACAGTGGCCAACCAGAAAACCCAACAAGGCAGAATTTGAAGGCCATAGCTCTCCCTGCTCTGTGGTTGATGCTGGTGTCTGATCTGATTGAACTGCATATTGCCATTCAGTTCATACATTTCCAGGGTGGTTTATCAGGCTTGCAAGAGGAGAGAGGAGAGGAGTTAAGGTTGAAGGAGGCACTAATGCCCTGTTGCCATAGGTCAGAGAGAGGCAACAAATTGTCAGAGAAAATAGAAGGTGAGGTCTTAGCTGTGCTGGAAACAGGATAGCTTAGAATCATAGCATTGTAGAATTGGAAGAGACTCTGAGGATCATCTGGTCCAATCCCTTACAATGCAGGAATATGCAGCTGCCCCATACGGAGATTGAACCTTGGTGTACGGGGATCAAACCAACACCCCAACCACTAGGCCACACTCTGGCTCTTGTTTGTTTGGACCAACTTTCTCCAGACATACTAGGAGGCTAAAAATTCTGCTGTTAACAAAGAACTCTGTTTTGAAGCACACCAACCAACTTCCTGAATAAATAATGTTGATATTCCCCTTGTGTTGCCAGGACAGGCTTTTCAGGGGTTTATGTTTGTGAAAGCTCCTGTAAAGACATGATGATCCTGTGCAGACATGATCTGAGATGGTGAATAAATGAATGTAGTTGAACTGCTGTTTTGGCAAGCTCTCAAAAACCTGGAGGAGATGCAGAGGGTGGAGCCAGTGCTGGTGTGTTGAAACCCCCCTCCCTCCCTGCAATATATTGTTCAGAGCCAAATTTGTAAGCTGAACATTGAGTAGGTACATAGGAAACTGTCTGACTTGCATCAAAATCAGTGGAGATATAGGCAAGCCTAGCTTCCCATATCTTTGTTCTAAGGGTTCCATTTCACATCTTGGCCCAAAAAATGTTTGCTCAGATCACATTTTTCCTCTTTATCATTATGTGGTTTCTTATGCAGAGTTTTGATAGGGCTGGCTTTGACTCTATCTTTCATTTGTGTGTTATCTTCCCCTCCTTTTGCTGCCTCTGTTGTTTTTCTCATACTTTTCAGAATTTTGATGGCATCAGAACAACAGGGATTACTCTTTGCCTTCCTGCAGTACTGTCTGATGTGCTCATTTCCAGTAGGGTCAACAAAGAGCAGTGATTCAGCTTTCTCTGAAGAGCCTGCCTCTATATTAAAACCGCAGGCTTTACAGCTTTTTTGTGCTTTTTTTGTTTGTTTTCTTCCTGCTCATTCATATGTAGGTTCCATTCTGCACACGGGCTACCTTAAAGCCCATTAATTTCAATAGGATTTAAGCTGTGATCCTGTGTGCTTTAAAGTAGATTAAATCCTATTGAAGTTAGTGTGATTAAAGTAGCCTGTGTGCAAGATTGCAACCTGGTCAAGAAGCAATGTGGTAGGAAATATATATGCAGTGCTTTTTTCTGGAGGGATGCATACCCCTAAACATTTTGTGAATCTAAGTTTGGCCTCATTGAGGGGCAGTATTTCAATATGAGTAGGAAAATGAAAGTACCCCTAAACATTTTTTTAAAACAACAACACTGTATATATGAAATATAATGTAACAAGTGGCTGAAGTTTACAGAGATATTGCTATGCCTGTATCTGAGGAGTAGGCAAAGGGAAGATTGCTGCCTTTCCTCCCATGTACTTTTGCAGCCTTGCTTTCCAAGTACAGTGGTACCTCGGGTTACATATGCTTCAGGTTACATACGCTTCAGGTTACAGACTCCGCTGTAACTCCGTTACAGACTCCGCTAACCCAGAAATAGTGCTTCAGGTTAAGAACTTTGCTTCAGGATGAGAACAGAAATCGTGCAGCAACGGCGCGGCAGCAGCAGGAGGCCCATTTAGCTAAAGTGGTGCTTCAGGTTAAGAACAGTTTCAGGTTAAGAACGGACCTCCAGAACAAATTAAGTACTGAACCTGAGGTACCACTATATCTGAATGGTCCTGGAAAGCACCCCAAAGCTCTAAAACTCTGCAAGCAGGACACTTTGAATCCAATCAGCAACATCTACAGAACAAGCATCATAGTTTCTTTATATCAGAGCTGTTTTAGGCATTTGAGCAACTGTGAGGCAAAATAGTTACTGAGGCCTTCATCTATGCCATAAGGCCACAGTAACAATGTCTTGGCCGCCTTTTAAGGATAATAAAGCTAATATTAGAAATGCACACAGCAGATAGGAAGTGGAAACAGCAGTATTCATATATAAAAATACCAAGCTACTGAGATGGGACCCCCATTGTGCTAGTATTATGAATCCTCTGTGTGTTTGCACTTTGTTCACAGCATGGAGGGAGGGGAGCTGTTCAGCAGGATCCAGGAACGAGGCGACCAAGCTTTCACAGAAAAAGGTACAGCATTAAATTGTTTTTTCTCTATGTGTGTGTGTATAAAGAGCTTGTAGATCAGGTGGGGGGCTAGTGGCTTTTTGTCAGAAAGAAAACCCAAATCAGTCTGGATCATATAATTTGGAGAGGAGGTGTACAACTCCCTCCTCTGTCAAGCTGCAATGGCTACGATAGTGTGGAGCCAGGCCATCCACATGAAAGGGAGGCCCTACTGTGCTTCTGAGAGCCAGTGTGGTGTAGTGGTTAAGAGCGGTAGTCTTGTAATCTGGGGAAACGGGTTCGCGTCTCCGCTCCTCCACATGCAGCTGCTGGGTGACCTTGGGCCAGTCACACTTCTCTGAAGAAGTCTCTCAGCCCCACTCACCTCACAGAGTGTTTGTTGTGGGGGAGGAGGGGAAAGGAGAATGTTAGCCACTTTGAGACTCCTGAAGGGGAGTGAAAGGCGGGATATCAAATCCAAACTCCTCCTCTTCTTCTTCTTCTTCTTCTTCTTCTTCTTCTTTGCCCAGGAACTCTCAGTAGCTTCTTCTTCCCCAGGCACTTTGAGGAAACAGGTGAAGGGGCTTAAAACTTCACCAAAGATTTTTTTACAATTTTTCAAAAGTATCATTCGAAATAGAACAGGTAACGGGAGGGGGGAATGTTGTCAATCAACCATAACAATGAGAATATTCCACTGATCCTGACTTAAACACATAATTTAATATAGGCAGTCCATGGGTAGAATTCAGCATCATACTGTTGAACGTTCTGTCTTCATATGCATGTCAGCTAGCCATATAGAACAATGATTCCCCACCCCCTCTCCTATGCACTGTTGGGAGCCTGCCAATCTGATCTCCCAGAGCCAATTCTGAGAGAGGAAGCCCCATTGCACAAGCAGAAGTCCTCGTGCACGGCTTCTGCCAACTGGCTTTAGGTGGCTCATGCCCCATATGTCAAAACAGGTATCCAAAGCAGACTGATGATTATAAACTATACATTCAAACATAGAAAGTGCAATGAGATCTTTAGATCACTGAGTAGTAGATGGTAAGTGTTTCTCCTTTCTGCTTTGCATTTTACGTCTCTCTGCTCAAGTCTGAGGGCTCAAAGGGCATTCAGAATCTTACTATGAGTTTAGGTGTGAATTGGTTAGTCATACCATAGGAACAAGTAGTGTATACTGTACGTATGCACCATACATGACTTTCTGGTCATTTTTATGTTGCCTTCTAGGAAGGGTGCTGCAGAGCAGGAGAGTTTAAGATGTGTGGAGGCATAGTCATTTGCAAAACCCAAAACACAGCTGTTGGGGCTAATTTTAGTTTTTCCCCTGTCTTGACACTAGCCCTGCAAACAAACAAGCTAGTTGCTAGTCAGAAGCATTGCCTAGCTGCATATCTCTGAAGTATGGAGGGAATGTTAATGTGACCTTTCTCATGAATTTTTATTTCTAGAGGCCTCTGAAATAATGAGAGACATTGGAACAGCCATTCAGTATCTACATGGGATGAACATCGCCCACAGAGATGTCAAGGTGAGGCTTGAAAAGTGCCTTGGCAGAGAAGAGAAATGCCTAAACCATAACAAGAAAATGGACAGTGGTGACTTGACACAGGCCATGTTACTACACTGAGAGGAACTAGTGTGTCCCAGTTTTTAATTGTGCGAAGAAGAACCATCTTGGTCAGGATCCCAAGTATCTTCTAAGTATACAGTTGTCCAGAAGCTCAGTGCATTTTTAAAAGACTTATTGAAGAAGGCCTGATGTTTATTTAAAATCTGCATCACCACATTGCAATCTACTGATAATAAAATACAAACTTGATGCTGGGCACCACACCACCTATCAGCCTAGAGGAACAGAACAAAGCCTACAGTTGAATAGAACTTCCCCCCAGAAACCTCTCCTGCTCTCCTGTTCAGCCTCATTTTATGTTTCTCTCTTGACACCATCACAGCCAGAAAACCTGCTTTATACATCTAAAGCGAAGGATGCAGTACTGAAGCTTACAGACTTTGGATTTGCCAAAGAGACGACGGTGCAGAATGCGCTGCAGACCCCCTGTTATACTCCCTATTACGTAGGTGAGTCTGCATGTGTCCCCTCCCCCACTTTTCTCTTTAGTTGTTAAGTCCACGGGGAGAACATGATTGTGCTTTAGAAAAAAAACCCTCCCCACCTCCCATTTTCAGATCTCTGCAACAGTCAGGCTCCAGGCCGTCAGGTACCAGAACCAGGGTTAGGATCTTGCTTGCCAGTTCAAGTGGGCCAGATCTGGTACATGGTTCAAAACAGGTAGGATAGCGGGCTGGAGTTTAGGCAGCCAGTGTCCTTACCCAAGAAACAAGTTGATCAGGCTGAGGAACATGTTCTGAGGCTAGGGCTTTGCAGGGCCTAGTGAGCAGAAATTGACCCAGGTGTCTGATGACTCAGATGGGCTGATACTGCATCTTAGATGGCACCATCAAAGCACAGTGCTCAGTCTTCCCAGCATGGGATGAGAGCATTGATGGCTCAGGAAGTCAGGGGCCAAAGCCTGAGCACAGGGAACACCAGTTCAGAACACACACACTTGCGCAAGATGTAAAATACCATGAAATATTTGTCAAGCTTCACCAGCACCCATGGGGTTCAGGTACAAATACTTAAAAGTATTATTTCAACCAGTAACAGCTTTTTTAATTAAAAAAAATGCAAATATTTGTAGTTTGTGATCAAAATAAGAGAAACTGACATTCACAGTTCTTTTGGTTCTCTTCCTCATCCCAATCAGCCCCAGAAGTCCTTGGTCCTGAGAAGTATGACAAATCCTGCGATATGTGGTCTCTTGGTGTCATCATGTACATACTGTAAGTGTGAAGTGGGGGAGAAATAGATTAACGAAGTTGAGCCCTTAACATGTCATGTATGAATAAACACTTCCCTTCTATCCCAAACTATATCCATCCCCAATCAATGGTGTTTTAAAATGATGTTTCCTTTTATGCCACACTCAGATAATTAGTCACTGGGCTATTACTCATTCCATCAGAAGAATCGACAGACATCTGGGACTGTGCATTGGGCTGCTGAAGTTGTGGGGAAGGTCAGGGAGGAGACAAAGATGTGGTCATTTCCCAGACAGTACAATATCTTCTCTACATCCCACTCTTTTGTAGCTTGTGTGGATTCCCTCCTTTCTACTCCAACACTGGCCAGGCCATTTCTCCTGGAATGAAGAGAAGAATTCGGATGGGGCAGTATGGATTTCCAAATCCTGAATGGTCAGAGGTATCTGATGAAGGTAAATGGATTCCCCTGTGTACTTTCTGGTGCATCAATGGGGTGTGTGTTTAATGTTTTAAATATACTGTGGTGAGACTGGCCCAGCATATATGCTACTTGGAGATCTCTAAAATAAAAGGAGTGTAGCTCAGTGGTAGAGTGTCCACCTTGCATGCATGCAGAAGGTCCCAGATTCAATACCTGGCAACTCCACATAGGGCTGGAAGAGACCCCAGTCTGAAATTTTGTGGAGCTGCTGCTGCCAGTGGATCATACTATAGACCAGTGGTTCCCAAACTTTATTTTTACCCCTGAACCACTTGAAGATTGCTGAGGATCTTGGTGGACCACTTCTGCCTGTTGTCTAGCAATTGTAATTTGTGTGCTAGACGCTAATGTTGCTATGATGCTTATGAACCACCAAGGGTCCATGGGCCACACTTTGGGAAATTCTGTTGTAGATAGTACTGAACTAGATGTGCCAATGAACTAACATGGTAGATGGTAACTTCCTAAAAGGTTTTGTTAAACCTCCCAGAGTTTAAGAAAAGTAAACATCTGCCTCTTACACACAATGTAAAGAAGTTTCAGAAACGCAAAATACCATTAAATTAACTCTGCTTCTCAAATACTGTTCCTTCAAATCCAACACTTACATTAGAGTGTAGATGAAAAAAGTGCTGCACCAGAAAAAAAAGTGGGCAGGAATCGGATCCCAGTAACAACAACAGGGCACCATCATGACTTCTGTGGTATTTTCCTTGTCTATTGAACTGGCTGTGCTAGTGCCTTGTTGACATGTGCTACAACTTGAGTAACACCTACTGCTTGCAGGCATGATGCTCCCTAAGCAGATTTTGTAGCAGAGGGATGAGGCAGCATGTGTATGGCATCGTGAGTAGCCTACTGATGCACCACAGTAGAGTCATTTTGCCACCTCCGGGCCGGCTTTGTTGGTACAATCATAGGCATCTGATAGTTGCAGCTGATGTACATAACGGGTGAGCCATCCTTAGTTCACAGAGAAGCTGCAGCAATTACCTTGATGCAGGTCACACTGTACTGTCACAACTATGTTTAGCAGTAATAGAAAGCCCTGTCATCCATCTAACACAAGAAATCCTGCACACCCCCAAATCCTGTTTCCTGTTAGAAACTCCAGCTCCTTTCTGAGCTGTCCTAGGGACAGCTGCAGGGAAATGTTGATTCCTGCTTGGCCAGCAGAAGGAGGTTTACAGGACTCCTGTGTAATCTTGGATATGAGCACCTCATTAAGAGAGTGAGTTGAGGGAGCGGGGAAATGTGTGGGAAATGCCTCCCCCTCCTGCCACCCTGAGACACCCGTGATCGATCAGAACCCCAAACCTAAGTTGTTGGTCACTACAGTCATTGTTAGGAATGAATCTCACTTTACCAGTGTTTCTAAGTCAGAATTGAAGGGCTGATTCATGTACGCATTAGTCGGGGTGCAAATGTGAGGTATCCAAAGTCAGACCCACATGCTCCAAGGATTTATTTCAAAAGCATGGATCAGTACTCCAAACGTTATTTGTTTAGCAGAAATTTAGAAGCATAAGCCGTTCCTGCATTTAAAATTCTGCTGATCTGTTATGTCAAAATCAGATTTCACTGCACTCCAGGCTCGGAAAATGTCAAGAATTCTAACCTTTTTCTGGACACAACATAAGACCATGGCCCCATGTGAAAAGTGAATCTGTGGGCACACACACATGCACTTCCAGCTGAACCTGTGAATGGAGCCTATGTGTTTACAACAGTTGTGCAGGCAGGCTGTGTTCACAGGTTTGGATGAAAGTGTAGGGGGCGGGGCCTGCTTCTTCGTCACATTTATTTCCACAAGGATGAACATGTGACCAATGCCTACATATCATGGGACTAAACGAGCTGTAGAAACTTTGTATAAGATGGTACAGATGTTTCGCCTGCAGTCCTAACCATGCCTATATGGAAGCAAGTTCTTTTTAACTTGGTGGAACTTCTGTATAAATCTGATTAGGATTGGGCAATCAAATGTGGATCTAAACACCTGCAGCAAAGAGTATTTTTTACAGCTCAGCTTATGAAACTGTTTAACTCTGTAATTTTGTTCTTTCTCCTGCTTCACACCTTTCATCGCTTTTGCTCTCTCTTTGCAGCTATATATTTATTGCAATTATTTCTATCCCATGTTTCAGGATGCAAATCCTTCCAAGTAACATCAATGCAATTTAAAAACACACTGTAAGGAATTACAACATTTAGCACGTCATAAGGATCCTTCTCACTGGCAGCTGGTGACAGATGGCTTTGTGCAGAGAAGAGCCAGTCCAGGCTCCTCTCAGCACAGGATCGGGCAATCACACTCTCTGTGAATCCTTCCCATGGGGTAACTGGTAGTTGGCCTTATGGTAGGCAGCTGGAGCAGGCAGGGGTAACTTCTTCACTTGGCCTATCATTAAATAAATAGTATATACGTGGTAGAGCATGCACTTTGCATACAGAAGGTCCCAGGTTTGACCCCTGATGATTCCAGGTAGGGCTGGGAATGCCCTCTGCCCCAAACCCCGGAGAGCTGCTGCCGCCAATCATTGTAGACAATACAGAGCTGGATGGGAGAATCCAAATGAATGGACTTGGTATAAGGCACGTTTCCCATGTTTTATACAGTCATTTGGAAGTGTCAGACTTTCTTCTGACTTGATAGCAGAGGAAAAGTGACAAGAGTTCAAGGGTTCTTAATAGTTTGAATTTTGTAGGATCTTGTCATTGATGTTTGTCTTTTTGCTTTTCAGTTAAGCAGCTAATTCGTCTGCTGCTGAAGACAGACCCAACAGAGAGGATGACAATTTCTCAGTTTATGAATCACCCCTGGATTAATGTAAGTCCTGCACTTGTGTGTGTGTGTGTTTGTGTGTTGGTGTTGTTGTTTTAATTTGGACAGGAGGCTGCCTGCTGTGGTAAGAGGGAGTATAACTCATTTAACCAGGAGTCTGCCCTGTATAAAAGGGATATAATTTCCACTCTGCAGTGTGAGAGAACTCTTGGGGGTGGGGTAAAATTTCCCTGTCAGTGGCAGTCAAGGACACTACACCCCCATCCCAACTGCTCCCGGCTAGCATTTTCTGTTCAGTGCGCCATGCACACGCCCTCCTTCCCTCACTTATAAAAAAAGCCATGTTACCTCATCAGTGTAGGATTTATGGAGGACTATTATTAGACATTCAAGGCACCGTCGTGCTGAACTGCTCTCTATTGATATGAATAGAGAGCCTCCTGCTTTAAGGGCGTTTTTGGTCTTTGGCACAGATCTGGAAACGTTGGGGTTATTGAGTGGGGTGATAGTGGAGGTTTATGTGCAGCACTCTAAGAAAACAACACCAGAAGCTGATTTTAATGGGTGATGCTAACTAAAAGGCCATGGCAGGCTCTCATGTCATAGAATTCTTTGCCTCCAGCAAGAAAACAAGCCGCTGCTAAGGCTACAAATCTGAGCAGTTTCAGGGCAGCTTTTCTGTCTATTGCTATGGAGGACTCACTGGAGTTTTGTGCATTTATTGTTTCTTTATTAGATTTCTATTCCCTTCTGCCATTAAGGTTATATCCCTCTATATATGTGTCTATATAAAAATAAAAAACAAATAAAAAGGAAGGCAAAGAACACAAAGAAATTAAATGTCCCTAAATAATCCATGTATTGCCCCCAAGAGCAGCTGGCATGCAGTTGTCGGGGGTGGCTAACATTTTTAGGCCTGTGGGGAGATCTGGATTTTTGAGTAAGTGATGTGGGCACCACCCGCTCTGATCCTTCTCATTCCCTGGATCAGCCATCTCCACCACAGAGGGGCAGAAAGAGAGGAAGCACACATGCATGCACACACACTTCACTTTTCTCAGGGTTCTGGGAAAAAGATTATTAATCTGTGCAGCAAAAACAAGAGGAAGTGGGGAAGAGTATCACTCTCCCTCCTTCAAATTTGATGTGCTTTTCAGGGGACAAAAAGTAGCCACCCTCGTAACCAAGGCTCAGTGACTGGGTGTGCCAAAAGAGTTTTGAGGGTGCCAGGGGAAGACCTCAAGGGCACCACTTCACCCGCAGTGCCACACTGGCAACTGCTGCTCTAAGTGATAGCATGCAACCTCCTAACAGCTGTTGGTCATTTGGCCTCTTAGTGGACCAGGCAAACCTCCACACTGAAGTAATTCCTCTCATGACCCTTCCCCCAGCCCCAAATTCAAGGCAAGCACGGTGCTGCTGTTCTGCGGACTGCTTTTACTTCATGCAGGACTATACTAAAGTCAGAAGAGTTAATTAACCTACACTGCATTTGCCTTCATTCATAGATCCCAAAATTTATTAAATGCAAAGGATTTTGGCCTTAGTCATTTGTAACTGGTCTGGAAAATGAAGCAGTAATAAATGTAAATAGCTTGATTGGGTCACACAGACTGGATGCTATACTTGATGCAAATCTAAAGTGAAAAGGAGGTGTTTAAAGTAAGTAAGAAGCAGCTCTACCATGTGCTGACATCTAAACAAAAATGTGGTTGAAAAGAGAAATGCCTTGAAAGCTCCTGGGATTGTGTGCTACATAGAGACAGTGGTTAAATAGACATCTAGATGCCATCTCTATGAGAACAAGTAAAGTCCCAGTTGATGCATCATCTCAGCCTCAGTGACAATGTGTCAAGGTAAATAGTTAAGCAGGTGGACAAGTTAAGTGTACATGCAAAAATGTTCTTCTAAACTAATTGGTTGAAGTAGAAGCTGGAGGAAATTAGCCAGGAGTATATAAGTAAGTGAAGTTGTGAATGAGCACAATAAGAAATTAAAATCCTGGTCATCCAAGGTAGCTTCACCTGAAATGCTATTCCTCCCATGTTCAGGGCCACCTAAATAGGCAGAGCTGAAGGGTTTCCATGCATAGATGAAATGGTGCTATCAGGAAGAGGACGTAGATTTGTTAGGGAGCATTCTGGGGAACAAAGCCAGATCCATATAAAGGGATGGGCTCCGCTTAAACCAAAATATTATCCGTCTGTTGGTCTTCAGTCAATTCAGATTTATTGCTTATAAGCCATCACAATATAGAACACAGGTGGGGCTGTTAAATATAATACAACAATATTGAAGTGTATTATTCACCACCTTCCGTGCATGATAATCATGTGTTATGGCTGCAAAACACAAGGCTTGCAAGTGAGGTTAACAGATTCTGCTAAGCTGTTGGGGGAAGTCAGGTTCTCCCTACACACAACCTAATAAAATAAAAAATTCAGCCCTAAATATTGTTCAGCTCAGAGACCTGGTGCTTCCAAATCTCAGATGAGCTAGATTGCCTCCTGAACTTAATATCAAAGAAGTGGCAGAGCATGCCCTTTTCTTAAAGTTTACATAGAATGGAATGGCAAAAGCATAAAGGGAACACTCAGCAGCACAGAGCCTGGCAGGGACTCTTAACATCCCACCAATGCAGTTTTAGTCTCTCTCCTTTCCCTTTTCCCTTGGCAGATAACAAATGCAACAGTAGTTAGGAGCCATCTTGTAATGGAAAGAACGAATGGAGTTGCAGGGGCGATGAATGTACATGCATACACGCCATCTGTCATTATTTTCTCAAAGCACTTTATAAACACTAATTTATCTTTGCAGTCCTCCCTGAAACATTTGTTTCTTTTTCTATATTTAAATAACCTAGGAAGAAAGCAGAATACTGATTTGACCAACATTCCATACAGTTGGCAAGGCTCAGGATAAAACACAAAAGGGATTGTCTCATGTTTCTTGCTGATAATTCCCAACCACATTCATTTAGACACATTTGTGTTACCTAACTAATTACCTTTATATATTGCCAGTTCTCTTTGTTGGTACATCTCCAGTATAGGGGCCACTGGGTGTAACATTTCCCTCCGGGCCTATGCTTGTGGAAGGATTCTCATGAGGTATCTCCATGAAGAAACATGGAGTCAAAATGGGCCATCTTTGTGGATTTCCCAGAAGGATCCATAAGCAGGATGCCAAGGGTACAACTTACTGCAGAAGTATGTCCAGTGGTTTGCTGTCAAAGCTAGTCCTTCCCTCAAGGGAACCTGGGAACTGCAAAGGAGCTAGGGATTGCTGAACATACTGTTCTCAGGAGCCACATTAAGCTGCGGTTCCCAGTGTTCTGGCTGCAGAGTAGGATCCATGGCAGCAGAATCTGATTTGAAAGCACTTTGTGGCAGTGATACTCATAAACAAAGAGGCAGTACAGATAACTCACAATATAGGTTCCTGGCCATTGCGTGTATAAGCAAAATCACGTAAAGCCAGAACACCCCCTAGAAAAGCAGGAAAACACATTTTTTTAAAAATAGCTGCACTTACCAGTGCGGGGCAAATGCAGCCCTCAATCTTCCTCTTAGTTTTCCTCCTTCTCTCCTTCACTGGATACTTGCTGCAAATGATATGAGGACTGGGGTGGGAGGTAGGGATTGACAGGTAGCCAGAAGATGTTTTTGGCTGTGGTTAAGATCCAGAGGAGGGTTGCCTGTGCACATCCGCTGATGGTGATGGTTTCTTTGTCAGAAGCATTGTGATTGGCAGCTGCAGCTGTTTCTTGAGCTCATCAAACATTTCCTTGTAAAGTCTCAGAGTGTCTGTAATCCCACGGATGATCTTGAGGCTGTGTTCCATGGTGGGGTCAAACTCTCCAATCAGATCATTTGTGTGCTTTTAAGAGTTTTCCTGCTCTCCCACCCCCTTTCCCCCTCCCCTGCTATTTTATTATTTTCCCCCAATGCAATTTTTGAATCATTCTTTAAAAAATTATTATTCAGCAATGTGCTTAAAGTTGTGAGCGTGTATGTTAAATAAGTGTGAGCTGCAAGTTACGTGTAGGAAAAAGAAAATCTCCTTTGTGCCTGAAGTGTGGCAACCCGCACTCCTTTTCACTATTAGACTGTTTCTATTTCATTTTGACCTAAATACCTAAATCTGCCATTCTTTTATACTGGACCTTTTCCTATGGTGCATGGCTTGGCTGGGTTATGCCGTCTGGAGCAGCTCTCCTCTGTAAGGACCTTCTTGCTGCACAATTGCTTCCATTCAATTAGCCCATATTGCATAAGCCCCAGGCAGCATGACCAAGTGTCAAGAATGATGGGAGTTGTAGTCCAGCAATATTGGCTATCACTGGCAGAAGCTGATATGAAAGCAAGAGGGCCTGGAAGGCATGACCTCCATGCTTATGTGCTGAAGCACAGGGTTGATCATTTTCACATTATGTAGAAATATATTTATTAGAGCCCTATTACTGAGTTGGAGAGGAGCGCAATTTGAGAAACACAGGAACGGAGGGAGCATATCACCCTTTACCCTCCTGCTATTTTCCTGCTCCGGATTTACTCTTCCCTGGCAGCTTTTCACTCTGGGGTTTCAAATGTGTGTTTGCCCCTCAGTCTTATTCCATAGCTGCAATCCTATGGAAATGACACATATTTCAGTCATATTGATAACGCAATTGTGCTTAGCAATGCAGCTAAGTACATTTTTCTCTCTCCCTCCTGTTGCTTAGGAGACATATTTATACAATTTTCTCAAGACTTGTAATTACTTCATCAGCAAGGACGAAGAGTGGTAATGTGTGAGTGTGTTATTGTCAGAATTACTGTTTCTGAATAGCTGCTTCTTTGGTTTCCTTAGCAATCCATGGTGGTGCCACCTACCCCTCTTCATACTGCCCGGGTTCTGCAAGAGGATAAAGATCACTGGGATGAAGTGAAGGTAATGATCACATATATTAGTAGGCTGGGCATTCGCAAATCCAGTCAGAGATAGTTTGCTTGCTTTTCTTTCTGAACATCTTTTACCAGCTCATTACCAGCATTTTCATAACGATTGCCCAACTATACAGAAATAACCGATTATGATGTTGTCTATATTCAGTCAAGGGCAGACTCTAGCACACATGTCAGTAACCCATGAGCTGCGGGTTGCATGCTGCCCATCCCCTCCACATGGGTGCCCAGTCTACCTTCTTGATACTGAATTTTGCACAGTGATGGGGAGGAAGGTGCACAGAAAGAGTAATCTCTGTGCAACTTCCATGCAAACCACACTCCTTCCAACATGCCAATAGCCGTTTGCTGGTCTTGGGGAGCACAGTGGTTCTCCAACTTACCAAACAACTCTTTGGCAGGCAAGCAGGAGCGTCATCTCTCCCTTGTGGGGTGGACAGAAGTCTGTCCTTTTCTGATCCATAGGGAGAGCCATTGAGTGTGTGCGTATGCATACCCAGGCCCTGCCACTTTTTGCCCTGACCATGCTTATTGATATTCAGCCTCTGAGTGACTACCCACGTCTGCATGTGACTCTCAGAGGCAAAACACTTTCCATCCCTACACATAGCAAAACAGTATGTTCTAAAACAGTGTTTTCCAACCTTTTTCCGACCATTACCCCCCTTTTTGAAATTGCTTCCTTCCTGTGGCCCCCCATGGGCGTAGCCAGAGGGTGGGGAGGCCAGGGGAGCAGCTGCCCCCATAAGTAAAAATCAATACAAATTTGAGATTCTGCCCCTAGTAACAAAAACCTGCCCCCCTGTTTTGCCAATTAACTTTGCAGGTTCTTTAAAGGACCTTTGGTAGTCAATATATGAGGGAAAATATATTTTTATGTCAACAGAATAGGACAAACTCCTGAAACAATAGCAAAAACAAAACCTCAAACAGTAAGCTTCCTTAAACCTTCTACACAGTAATAAACCTCCTTAAACCTTCTTATACAGCAATACAAAACCCTCTACCACCAAGAAATAACCCCAAAGGAACAATTTCAAAGCAACAATTCCCCCCACCAGACCTTCACCCACATACACCACCAGATCAAACTGTGGGAAGCCTCAGCGGTGTTTAGTCCATCCTCCTCCTCCTCTTCCTCTTCCTCTTGACCACATTACCCTGAACTATTTGTACCTGTCTCAACCAGGTGGGGCTAGATATCTCCACGGTCGCCACCCGTAGCAATGAGGGCTCCTAATCAGGGCAATCAAACCCCAGTTGGGCCACCCTCAAGGGCAGGAGTGGTTCTGCAAGGACTCACAGGAAGGTTTGGCTGTGTAAGGCCAAACTTACACCTCCTCTATTTTTCTTGTGCATTTTCCACTATACCCCCAACAAAAATCTGGCTATGCCCATGCCCCCCCTCCAGTCAGTAGAAAGGTAGCTATTTAAATGTTTTGTTTGCAAATAGAACATGTTTTATTCATATTTTTTTTATAATTTATCCAAAATACAATTACACAAAATGATAGGAGCATAATGAAATATTGTTAAAGCAGGAAAACATAGAATCATGGAGCTGGAAGGGACCCCAAGGGTTATCTTTCTACTGCAATCCCCTGCAACGTAGGAAACTCAGCTAAAGCATCCATGACAGATGGCCATCCAACCTCTGCTTAGAAACCTCCAAGGAAGGAGAGTCCACAAACACCTGAGGGAGATCCATCTTCCATGTATTATAAAAAGTAAACAACACTTATTTGACCCATGTTATTTGGCAGAGAGTGGGAAACCTTCAGATATAGTCCCAAAGGCGCACAGGGAGAATTTTAAAAAGCAAGTGGTCCTCACTGACCCAGTGCAAAAAGATCATCATCAGGAGGAGCCCTGGCTGCCTGGATAAAGCACTATAGCCCCACACACGCTTACCTGGGAGTAAGGCCCACTGAACTCAGTGTGCCTTTCTTCTGAGTAGACACTTAGTTATTTACTAGATGCAAGTCATGAGCACCAAACGCCCCTACTCGGCTAGGCACTGGGGTGGGTTTCACCCCACGCCTTGCAGAACTGGGCCAACACTGCCAACTGGCCCTGTGCCCCTCGGCAACATCCAAAGGCCCTGATCCACTAGGTGCTGGGGTGGATTGCAGCCTGCACCTTGCAGAGTCAGGCCCAGGCTGCCACCGGGCCCAGCATTGGCGGTAGCAACAAAGCAGCTCCTGCTCATCCAGCCCTATCCATTGCCATCCCACCACCACGCTTACCTGACCTGAGGGGTTCTGGATTGCGGGCTCTACTGGTCAAAACAGGAGCCTCAGCGATTGCCCCCTCTTGCCGGAAACAAACTAAGACTGCTCCAAGAAAATGCACATGGCAAAAAGGAGTACTAGGCCCTGGTGGGCCACCCCCTTACCTGCTTGCGATTGGCCAGTCAGGATTTTAAAAAATGATTTTTTCCCTTCACTTCTCACTTCCTTCTATGGCCCCTTAGCCTCATGCTGTGGCCCCCCATTTATGCATTTTTCACCTGTGACCCCCTTGTAATATCCTTCCCCCCCAGGAGGCCATATGGCCCCCAGTTGGGAAACACTGTTCTAAAATATTAAAATATTGTTAGCGTTAAAATACAGTGCTTTCAGTAAGGATTCCTGTAGCGTTGTGTTACTTATTTCACCTTGGTCCTTCTAATCTCTTTGTCAGAAATGTTCAGTATAATTCTGCATATGTGTTCCTTGTCATTTAGCGACACAGTCTACTTGGGTAGAATATGAGCTCTCTTATGGGAAGGGCACAACTCTTAGTCTTGGCTGGGGGAGGTCAATGGAGATCTGTGGCCAGAGGGTTCTGTTTTCACCTGAACATGGTAGGAAAGTGGCATCCACTTCTTAAGACCTAACTATTGCCTCATGTGGGTTTTAGGAGGAGATGACTAGTGCTTTAGCGACCATGAGGGTGGACTACGACCAGGTAAAGATTAAAGATCTGAAAACATCCAACAACCGTCTCCTCAACAAAAGGCGCAAGAAACAAAAGCAAGGAGGCACCTCTTCAGCATCTCCAGGATGTAACAACCAATGAAGAGAAGAGCGGAAGATAAATATCAAAAAGAACTACTAATTCAAATGGGTTCAGCTCAGCTTTTACACCAAGAACAAAGGGTGTACATCACTGAAGCTTTAAGTGAGTTGACCTACAGAGAAGCTGCACTGTGGCATCCAAAATGCAATGTTCTGGAACTTTTTATGTGAGCACTGTGGGTTTTTCTAAGGGATTTTTTTGTTTTGTTTTTAGCATTGTTTTGTTTTTCCCCTAGAGTTCCAGAAAACCCTAGAATTCCAGTGGAAGCTTAAGATGTGTAGTCTACCGACTAGAGGCAGTGCAGATTCCATACTTATTCACAATGAGCACAATCCAGCCAAGATTAAGGATGTTTAAGTCCCCTTGATTTCAGCCAAAAATATATTTAGGCCTGTGCTCAATTTTCTCCAGTTGGATTCAATAAGACATAAAGCTGCTTAAATTTGGCTGGATTTATGTCTAGCATTTCTAAGAGAAACGAATTTGTGCCATCTCCTGTGGCATAAGCCTCATGGACAGAAAGTTCAAGAGTCTGGTAAGGAAGCACACAAAAAGGAATTAGGCATGTAAGCTTTTCATGTGTGTATTCCTGCTTGGTCTTGACACTTTTGCTGTATTTTATTTTACTTCTAGGGTTCATGCTGTCAACTCGCACAATGCCCACCTGAGCAAGGAAGCATTGCTCCTGACTTTAAGAGAAAAATGTTTACATCTTAATAATTTCTTAAGTTGTGTTTCCACTTTCACTGAAACATGGGGGTTTCATAGGTGTTGGTAAACATCCATTTCTGTTTCGCTAGAGCCATGTACACTGGGAAGCTGCAACTGACCATGGCTTCCTTTGGGGACTGTACATCAGTATGACTCAGCTGTTCCCTTTTCTTATTTTGTGTGTATGCTACAATTGTTCTGGGTACATAATTCTCTCAATCAGTGTTTAATAAGACTGATATTTTTTAAAAATTAAGGATCAAATATTAGACTGCAGCAGTCATTATTGAAACTTCTGCAGTGTTGAAATCCAAGGTGAACACACTTGCATGAATAACATACAAGATTTCAGTTCAAAGAGGATCCTATGTAGTCCAGAACGAAGCCTTCAAGTTCCATTGTTGCAGGTGGGGCTTGTACTTAATGTAGAGTGCTGGTTTCTAACTTCTACCATTCTATGCACTGAATTAATAGCAATCACATGTTAGACCTTGCGAGCATCCTGTAAGCAGTGTAAAAGTTAACAAAGGTGGTGAGAATGCTCCAAAATTCAAATAACTACTCATAATCACTGCATCAAGATGCACATTATCACAAATTTTCAACATATATATGAGGTTTACTTGACTGATGAATTTATGATCAACCAATTTCTTTTTCAGTATGTTTTGGGTTAGAGTGGACATGGTGAAATGTAAAAAAAAAAAAAAGGCACTCAAGTTATTCGAATAAACACTTATTACAAGATGGTAGCAAAATCCATCTGGAACAGCAGTTGTGCCAAACACTCCTCAGTGTCTCAAACCAAGGAAGATTCTTCGTCTTCTCATACAATATCTCATGATAGACTGGTCATATGACATGCTGGTCACGTGCCATCTATCCTCATTCAACCATTCCATCATTCATCAGCTGTTTCCAAAAACAGGGTGCAGATGCCTACAAATGCAAGCCCATCTATCTCCACTTCTAGCCCTTTGCTTGAGCTCTCAGATGTGCTATGTGGTTTGGAGAGGGTAAGAAATATCAAGGATTTCCACATGTTGCTGTTAACTTTTCCAAACCTTCGCACAGGGGAGGGAGAGCCCCGATCTGCCTCAAGGCCTCTACTTCTGTCAATGGGCGCAAGGAAGAGGTAGAGATTTCTTCTGCTTCTAGTGCAATTTGGGAAAGGTAAAAACAGTGGCAGGTGACTCCTACTGTTCCTTCTGCAAACTGCAGTACAAATGAGATAAAACCCATCATCTCCCCTAAGCTCTCTCCACATGCTAGAAGACTTCAGAGGAGGGGATTTGTGGCTACTAAGGCAAGCCAAGCCAATATTTGTAGATCTCCATGTAATAATTTCATTCCAGGATTACAAGGATTACTGGCTTTGTGAATTGGCAGTGCACAACCTCTCTATTCCTCACTCAGTGCCTCTCTTTGATGTACAGGTAGACATTAAACTGTTATTAAGACACACTGGATAAACCTATGAACTCTTGACTCTTTGTGAAATATTAACATTTTGCATATGTTAATAAATGGTGCTTTACCATTTTTTTAAGTGGACCCTGCTTCCTCACTGTGATTAATCTATATTTGTATTGGAGCCCTGCACCAGCTTCAGCTATAGGAAGTAAACGTTCACCTCTGCCACGCCATAAAAGAAGCTGCATTTAAGAAGAGAACAGAAATGTAATTTGAATTCTGAAGGAATTGTTTCTGCCCAGTAGGACTTCTATATAGATAAGAATGCTATTTCCATCTACTAATTAACTAAACTTTAGAAGCAGCATGTTAGTAGTAGTAACTGAACAAGAATGAGCCCAAACCAAAAGGCATAAAGGAACGACTTTCTAACTGGTTTGTATGTCAGACAGACTCCATAAATGTGAAGGTACAAATTTCCCAAGATTTGTGGAAGGGCAATAGCTTAGTGGTAGAAGATGTACCGGTATTTTGCATGCAGAATATTCAAGGAACAAATCCATATCTCCACGTAAGATATGAAAACCCCAGGAGAGTCACTGCCAGTATAAACACTATTAAGCTACACAGAAAAAAGATCTGAAAACACCAGGCCAAAAGCCCATCTAGTTCAACATTCTATTCTCACAGTGGCCAACCAGATGCCCATGGGAAGCCTGAAAGGACCCAAATACAACAGTCTCCCTACTTGTGCTTCCAGGCAATTGGTATTCAAAATCACTTATGCCTCTTATTTGGTATTCAGAGGTTCCCAATGGGGTTGGGGGTTTATTGGGTCAATCCTGATTACTGGTAGAATTTTTCAGTCCTCTGGGACATAGTCGCCAATGGATAAATCCTGCCACAAAGTAAAAAGGCTTTTACCCTTGAGCAGCACAAACGCTGGACATCCTAGGGAAGGAGGGAGAACAAGTCCTGTTCAGTTTTTACCGCAGTGCCCAACGTGTCCGTCTCAAAGCATCCAGATGTAGCAAAACAATTACAATATTGTTTTTTGGCTTTGATTCAGTTTTCCTTAAGCCTGGGGTGTGAGGACAGATTGGAAAGGGAAATGTCTAATTTACCTATATTTGTGTTTTCCTATCACTGCCAGGCTCTCTCTTCGCACATTGCCATAAGGGTCAGAGAATGTAAAACCAGGGTCGTAAGGGAACTTGTTTATTTATCCCAATGGTATGCCATCCCGGTTCCAAGGAGCTCAGGGCAATCCATGTGTGGTTAGCCCATTTTATCCTCACCAAATCCTGCAGGTAGGTAATGCCATGGTCAGCCAGTGATGTTGATGACTGAGCAGGGATTTGAAACCAGTTCCCTAAAGCCTAATGTAACACTGCACTACATTACACCACAGTAGCTCTGGCCATACAAAGCCTGTCACTCACTCCTTCTTTTCTTGCTTTCTCCTGTTCCCTACTTTTAAGCTGTGTTTTTTCCCCATGCAAAGATACATGTTTGTGCCACTCTGCCACCCAAATTCCACGTTTATTCTGAGATTTTGATGGTTGTTGCCATTCAGGCAATTCTGCAAATAAATGAATAAATGATAAGGATAAATGAATATCCTTTTCTACTGAAAATCTCTGGAATTCACTGGTTGAGCAATATGTGCCATAATTTGCATGATGTCATTGCAATAGTCTGCCTATGCCTTATGCAACAGAAACACTAGAACTCTTCTGGATCAGATTCTGCCACCCTCTGCATTAAAACTAAAAGCCTGAGCAATTTAGTCTGAAGGACATTAATCTTTTTTGTTAGAAGCTGCATCTGTAGATATTAGACTACAGAACTGATGCTATGCAAATCATGTCGAAACTATCATACACTATACAGAGACATCTGGGAACATCTAAGGAAGCACCCAACAATTTTATTAAAGGACAGGAAGAAATTAAACAGTTGAGAGAAATTGTACAACTACCTCCTTTGAGAAAGAAGGAGACATATATTTCTTCAAGCTAAAATTAGCTGTGTTAGAGGAATTAATTACAAAAGGGAAATTCTCTGTATAGTGGACAAAGATTTGCTCTTGGAAGACCTAGTTTCTGCTATCAGATCATTATGTGGCCTCTGTGTACTAGGTCTCACTAGAGAATGAAATTTGATTTCTGCCAAAATCTTTAATGCTCAGTGCATAGGCAAAGTAGAGTTCAAAGGTACAAGTGCTATGCATGGCTGAGTAAGCTAAGAAGTTGATCCAACAAGCAACACACTACCTTGTGTCCCATTATATGTTATTTGTTATATGCTCTCAGCTACACTGGTGCCTCTGTGACCTAGGCAATGGAAGGGACCTAGGCAATGGAAGAGACATCAGCATCAGCTTTGAACCAGGCTGAGCAGTAGACTCATGAGAGAATGGCTTAGGACAATCTCAGTTAGTGCTGGAGGTGGCACCAGGATTGGAGGTGAGGCTGGCAAGAGAACTGAGGGCACTGGGGACACAGAGTGCTTGGCTGAAGTGAGAGGGGATGAGGCAGAATGCTGGGGTGAAACACTGCTGGAACCCTTCCCGATACCTGACTCCTCATCTGTGAATCCAAAGCGAATCCTCTATCTCTTGAAGCCTGGACACCTCCTGTCCCAATCTACTGGGCTCCTCCCTGGGGTTGTCAGCTGGCAACTCCTCCAACTGCTCATCCTAGTCCCGGGACTCAAGACACTCTAGAAGACTGCAGTCCACGATCTCTGTTCCCCTGCTTTGAATTGGGAAATCTTCACTGAATACAATAAAAATTGTAAATTGAAAATAACAGCAGCAAAACCAGGAGATCTCACTGCTGTTTATTTAAATCTACCGTGGTTTGAAGATATTATGACAAAAGTTAACTGTTAACACAGTAGAGCAGAATGTAACCACCCTAGAAAGGACTGGATGTGCTTAGGAAAGCTAAGACTGCTGGGTGTGCGCATGCATCTTGGGTGATCACAGGGGATATCAACTAAAGAAAGTGGTAAAGGATCTCGGAATGAGTAAGCAGCAACATACACCATAATTAACTGAATGAGGTTTGTTCCTTTCATCTTGATTCTGTAAAGATAGGCTACGTGGGATTATTTCTAGCATCTGAACACTGGGAACTGCCATGTCTTGTCTACCCTTTCCTTGAACATTCTTCTATCCAAGGTATGTAAGGCACCACCTTTTAAATGGAAAGCATTTGCCTACAATGATGAAAGTTGATGGGAGTTGTGGTCTGGTCCAGCAACAGCTGGAGCACCCCATGTTGGCCACCCTTGCTTCAGACTGCCAGTTTAGTTACACCAAATGCCACCTTGTAGATGGCCCTTAGCACGTTAACGCCAGGTATGTCTACCTTGTCATCTGTTTTGGGTTCAAATTTCCCACATTTGAAGAGCAATTTTGTGGTCAATGACTCAGTATCAAAATATGTAGGCATTCCATTGGTATTCCTTATTTTTCTTAGCAGCAGAAAAGTACAACTGCTTACATGCCTCTCTTTCTACTGTCTTATTTAATTGTTGCTTAGAGGCAGCCTATGCCCCTCCTAAGATGCTCTGCAAACACACACACCCATCTCTCTTATGTGAGGCCTCTAGCATGGTCACAGTTCCTTACTTCTCCAATTTTCTTTCCATACCTCACTTCTGTGAAAAATACAGTGTGACAAACCTTTCTCTTGACATGCTACACTTCAAACCTACTTTTAATTATAAACCGCTGTCTTGCTGCTTCATTTCCTAATTGAGGAAGCACAGCATGCAGTCCTGGGACTGGATTTCTCTTAACTCCTTATTGCCCCAGGGTCGGCTGTCCAATTAAAGAGCAGCTCCTGATTTGCCCAGAGACTGAAATAATAGGATGATCATCCTGCCTGTTCTCTGTTAGGTTAACATGCTGTCCTCATTTCAGAACAATTTTCCATTTCTTTTTAAATCTAGAGATACAACTGACCTTTGATTGAAACATATCTATGGAATGTGTCAAGTTCATGGAGGCTGGGTAGGTAGCCTATTTAGAATTTGCCCATTAGTGATTTACCAATAATAATGTTAGCCTTTGTGGGACCTACTTTTATACATCTAGGAAGAAACTTGTCATTTGTAAGTTGAACACAGTCTTTTATCAAAGTTCCATATGCTGTGATGAAAAGACCCCCTTGTGGTTACATTGTGAGACCTTGGATATTTTTAAATAAAATAAAAAAAATAGACCTGACATTTCCATGAAACTAGGCAGATGAGTCACCTTATAGGAAACACCAGCGGCCTGACTTGCCTGAGAGCTATTTCACATCCACTGTGCCTTAAATCACAATATGCTTATTTCTGGAAATATAAGTTATAGCTTAATGCATGGGTCGACAAACTAAGGTCTGCGGGCCGGATCAGGCACAATTGCCTTCTGGATCTGGCCTGCAGACAATCTGGGAATTGCTGCGTGGATCACCAACATGCACATTCTTTCCCTCTCCCTCACACGGCGCTGGCGCCTCCTCCCTCCCTCATCCTGGCTTCTCCCTGCCCTGCCTAGAGGAGGAAGGGGGCTGGACTTTGTTGGTGCCAGCAGCAGCAGCGCTTGAGTGGCCGCCATTTTAAGCAGCCCCTCTCCGGAGCCCTTTCATGCACCGCTCCTGCTGCCGCCAGCTCCTGCCACACGCAAGACACAGGTAAGCAGCCACCAGGGCTCATCCGGTGCTGTGGAGAAGGGAAGGGAGAGTTGTGGGGGTGGGTGGCTTATAGTCCGGCCCCCCACAAGGTCTGAGGGACAGTGGACCAGCCCCCTGCTGAAAACGTTTGCTGACCCTTGGCTTAATCTTGAGGGAGGTGTGGGCAAACTTTAGGCATGCGATATTTACTTTGTATTCAAGTAGAAACCTGAGATCCACCAGCTGAAGCTGGCTGCAAAATGGCCGTGCAGGGAATGGAACCAATTACCTACATTTCTCCATGAGCATTACACTGGGATGACCTGCAGACACAAATACAAATCTGCATCTGAGTTACTACAGATCAGAGATTCTAACTGTCCGATTTAGACCCTAAAATGGCTATTATTAAACAATGGGGAGTTGGAAACCCTTGTAGCTCTGCTGCAGATCACCTACATAGACAATCCT